CCCCCCAAAAAAAAAAAGTCTGACATATGACCGAGTTCGTCGACAAAGTACGGATATTCCTACACAGCTGTGTGTAAGCGCACTCTGCCGCTGTCTTGTTCAAAGCAGAGGAGCAGTGAACGTCAATGATCAGACCACGCTGAATCCTTAACGGTGATTCTGTACCCGCTGCCTTTTTGTGGGCTATGTCGATTTGAATATGCAGCGTCTCCAATTAGGAATGCAATCCCTCAAGCATCAACAATGAACCATGCAGAAGGAGAACCACTGAAACGCCCCTTTCGAATATGGAAACACTCCCGTACCAATATCCGCTTCCACACAGTCAGATGCGCCAGGATAGGCGGTTGACGCCCTGTTAGAACATCGGGAAGAAAGCGAGAAAAGGCTGTGGTGTTATGAACAGTTCCTGTCGAGATTCACCAAACCATTCTCACCGGTGCTGCAAGAAGACGGAGAAGACGAGGCAGGGGGTTTAGGTAGCTGGCCTCCGATGTGGCCATGGTGTCTCGGCCGCCATTCGCATGAGTAAATCATAAACACATGAATAGTCCCATCCTTCCCTCCTTCCTTCCCTCCTTCCTTCCTGCCTGCGCGTTCGTAAGCTGGGTTTGGTATGGCGTTGGCTCTTTGGTGCTTTTGTGCGCATTGGCTCCTTCCTCCTTGATGTTGGGTGGCAGGTTTACAGGGTGGGTGCCTTACCTTAGGTCCCTACCGACCTCCACTTTGGTGTAGACATCTTAGCCAAAGTACACTTGTACTGGAACCATGGGGCAAAATGAACTATGATTGCAAGTACACTATACTTTGGCAACTCATGGGCGGTACCTCATGCAAGGTACGCCAACGGCTACTGGACCACCTCATCGGCCGTTGGTGCAGCAAGCAGGTGCAAATGCGCAGGAGGAGGAAGGGGAAGAGCGGGAGCGGGAGCGGGGGCAGTGTATGAATACCTAGGTACCTTGGAGTCAAGACACGGGCATAGACAGGAGGCAAGAAGAGGGATGGAGAAAGGCCGGGCCCGTAATCCGTATTGCTTCTCCTTCTGGTTTTGGTTCTGCTTCTACTATGTAGAGGAGCAGTGTCAGTGCCTGAGGTGGAGAGCGACGCCTACTCCACCCATCTACATATCTTACTAGTACGGATAGTGTGCGTTCTTATCGGCTTCAACTTGCACATCTAGAAAACGGTTGGTTTGTGCCAGTTCTGGGGGGACGTGTGCTAAGAACAAGCGCCTTTTTCTAGTCGCATTCATCGTCGATACCGAGGAACGCCATCTTCTGGCACTCCATTCGGGAGCCCCTCGCCATCCACGATTCCACTGAACCACTTTCAAGTTTCATTGCCCACCTTCGTCGCGGCCCGGCCATCAAACTTCAAAAGAGCCATGGAAATGGAGCTAGCAGGCACCGTAGCACCCTGTCCCCCCCCCCCCAGAGCCGGGCCCTCCGCCTGTCACCGACAGCAAGCTTTTCATTTTTAGCAATCTCCATACCTGGGGAATGCCCGACACCAAGCCCGCGCGACCCCATTCTCATCTACGACACATTTGAAAACTGTGCGCTATTGGCCGAGGGCTGAGCGCCGCGGTTTTGTCATGAGGCAGCAACCTGGATGTGCCTATTGCTGGCTCTGTCACAATCGTCGGAAATCCAGGAGATCCAGGGCCACAAGTGCAGTTTAGAGTCTTGGACTGCAGAAGGTTCGGCGTTGACCCCAGCGGCCCCCGTTGCAGCCCCGTTCTCTCGTCTTGGGCATATTATTGCCCGCATCCAACCACGCTGCGCTTCTTCCTCTGCCGACGACAAAATTCATCTGGTCAGGCTCGATCCGGCCAACATTGAACTCAAAATTTGGTCCCATGTGTCAAAGATACGGACAGAGGTTCATCTTCTCGTTACTTTCTAACGACCCGGTATCCTCCCCACCCCGCACCGCTGAAGACTGGAAGTCTAGGATGATGGGACGGTCATCCTTCATCACTCATGGAGAACGATTGTATCCGTATGACGATTGGGCAATGAGAGAACGGGACCTGCATGTGCAATACCGGGGGACTGCGCGTCTCTTGTGTCGTCCATGGTCTGGCTCTAGCCCTTCTTGCAGCTCTCCCACCCGTCCCCAATGCCAGTGCATACTGTCAGCCAAGCTGGGTTGCATCCGTCGTTGCTTTTTCCCTTCGTCTTCTCTTTGCTCGCCTGCATCCGAGAGAACGACATGCAGCCCAATCAGGGGGCCGCCGCTTTGCCGCCTCCTACTTCCGCTCGCCGCATAGCTCCGCTCGTCATGTCCGACGCTTCACACATCACACACAACAGGCTTGCGAGTTTCCCTCCGGCTCATAACACGCCATGTGGCACCTAGTGCACCTTTTGCCTCGCGAGCAAAACCCCATCTGAGCCATGCGTTTTATATCAACACTGCTAGCGCGCATGAATCCACACCAACCTCGTCCAGGGATGTTCCAAATCGCCGGGCCCAAACTACGACGCGTCTACCATGTTCAGCGGAGCTGACTTCCTCATTTTGTCCATGGTCGCTGGCCTGGACTTGATTTTGACCTTCTAGCTCAATCTCGAGAACCATGAAGACAGGGACCGCCGTCTGCAAGAAATTCGAATTCCAGCAAACACAAGGAACCAAGGCCTAGCGGTATGCTCTGACAGCTCCTAGTGGTTTCGCGAAGCCACGCTGGTACCGTCTGCTGTCAACCAATGTCAGAGCCCGGCTGATTGCAAAGATGGCCTACTCGGCGAGATCTCGACCATGGAGGTAGGCTCTCGGCGTTGGAAGTGGTCTGCTGCGGCCGTACCAGAGAAGCAGCGGCACAGCACAGGATGCCAATTATTCCTGCCCGCCGCCTCTTGTCCCCCCTCTCTCCTCTCTTTTCAAACATCCCCACCGACGAACACGCGCCGTAAGGCGCAAGGTGCTCCCATCTGCGGGACCAGCTGCAAAGAAGTCTTGGCTCCTTCGTTTTATCCTCCCGGGGGAGCTCACCACCCTCCCTGCTTCCCACTTCCCGGGCTCCATAAATGTGCGTCTGTTCTGCAGACTGCAACTCTCATCACGTATCCGTACATGAGGCGGCGTTGAATAATTGCACCCGCGGGCTCTGGCCACAGATATGTGCAGTGTAATACATTACACATTCATCAAGAGTGCTATTCAGACCGAGTCCACTGTGCGGCATCCACACCCAATAGACTTTCTTAGTCCCTGCTACCTAGTGCGTCTTTACGAGTATTCCCCTTTTCCTCCTTGATGGACAAGCATAACCCGGTCTAGGACTATAGGAGTTATGTCACAAAAGCGCATCAGACGAGGGACGCAAAACTTCTGTCCGGCCATTCCTCGACGATCCACTGCTCCTCAATTCACATTTCATCATCATCCATGCGGCTGCTTTGGACTGGCTCCATTGAATCCTCGTCTCTCCTCTCCACATGTCGACCCTGCCTTGCCGGGGCCCATCTCCGGGGTCTCAGAGTCGGCGACCCTCTTTCATCCGCGCTTCGGGAAGTTGGGATTCCAACCCATAGGTTAGGGCCTATCTAGACCAGGGCCCCTGGTGTTTCCAGTGCTGTGCATCGATCCTAACCAACTTATATCCCATTGTCTCGCTCATGTAACCATGTTACCAAGCTCCTCTACCCTCTCTCTTTCCTCCGTTTGGCCATGCTCTCTCCTCGTCGTCACTCGCTAGACCTTCTCGATACCACAGCCCTATGGCCTCGGTAGATTTATCAGAGAGCAATGGTGATGCTCTCTCAGCCACTGCCATCACTTTCCTTGTACTGTCCTGGTTGTCCGTCGTTCTCAGATGTTATGTTCGAGCTTTCATGACCAAGGGTTTCCAGGCCGATGACTGGCTCATGCTGGTCGCCCAGGCAGGTTCTCATCCTCGGCGGAGCATTCTTTAGCCATGCTAACTGTGACAATCAGATCATATTCACCATCACTTGCTCTTTTATCCTCCTAGGCGTTAATGATGGCCTCGGTCACCACAACCAAGCCCTCGATCAACAGAGGGAGGTCTCGGCTTTGATGGTTCGTTGGCTCTACTCTGGACTAGACTCACTCATGTCACTAACAAGGCCGAATAGTATCAATCCTTGGCTACCGCTACATATGTCCTCGATATGCTATTTATCAAGCTGAGCATTGGCTTGTTCCTGCTGCGGCTGTCCAACTCAAAACTATACAATTGGATCATCCATATCAGTCTGGCGATCATCACGGTGTGGAGTGTGGTCATCTTCTTCTGGAATTTATTCCAGTGCTCGCCTGTCGAAGCGCAATGGGATTATGCCATACCTAATTCCAAATGCGTGTCACCAGACGCCGTTGTGACGGCGGCGTACTCTATCAGCGCCATGACCATCTTGAGTGATTGGCTATATGTGAGCTACCTATTTCACTCAATGTTTGCCTACCTTTGGATTAATAGTAACCTTCATCTAGGCCCTGCTCCCTATTCCTATGATATGGAGCGTCAAGATGACCAAGCAGGCCAAGGCAACTGTAATCGTAATTCTCGGTTTAGGAATATTGTAAGCTCATTTGGACTGAGACGAGTCAGTAGGAAAGCAACTGACAATTCCCAGTGCCAGCATTGCAACCCTCATACGACTCAAGTTCTTAGCCGACCTCAGCGATCTGAGCGATATCTTGTGTACATTCTCCATTTGATCCCAAACTAACTTCCCGGACTCGAGAGGCAGAAGTCAAAATCGAACCTTGACTGACTCGATTATAGTTACAGGAACAGATGCCATGGTATGGACACTCGTCGAGCCTGGAGTAGCCATCGTGGCCTCAAGTTTAGTAACCATTCGACCGCTTCTCCGAGCCTGGCGACTAAGTGGTTTCACTTCGACCGACCGAACGCCGGGTATGAGCGGGCGTATCAGCGGTGGAATGAGGTCAGGGACCGCACGATCGGCACCCCGCGACCCATACGGCACCGGCGACATCGACGGTATCGACACAGATCTGGAGCTCGGTGGGATAGGGAGACACGAGCCCATGCCGCGGCCGAATTCTCGGCTGGGATATCCGGGGCCGTTCACACAAGGCGGCTCAAAGACCGCAGGAACGCAACTCAGCTCGGACTTCATGGCACCACCAAACTGGAAACGAAATAGCAATACCAAAAGCGAGATGTACGTAATCGAAGGAGATAAAGCGAGCGACACGTGGACTGGGGATAGGCTGGGCTCCCCAAGTGTGTCTTCAGTCGACCTGGACGGTCTCGATGCACAGAGTCAGCATAGTGGGCGGGTTGGTCTGGGAGGAGGGAGGAGGGATAGATAATGGTGACTAGCGAAACCCGACCATTGTACCGATATGATTATGTATACCTTGTGGTGTCATGGAGTTCACGGATTTCAGGGGACATTTGGGCGCATCGCATGCTGGGCAAAAGAAGGACGTGGAGCTGCTATCACGCGGCCCAAAGGTTCGGACCAGCGGTATGGATTCTGGATACAGTGGCGATCTCGTGGTACGATACATCGGTCTTTGGCGCAGAGATTTACTGGTATGGATGTACATTGAACCACGTCGCTTGGTGTGCGCAAACACAACTAGTCCGAGGCCATATTCGGTAGAAACAAAGCCTATGACAGCTTCTTGTAAAGAGCTTGAAGTAACCACCATCCTAAAAAAAATCAAAACGGGTTTTGACTGTATGCCTTCTCCGCTTCCGCGTACGCATCGTACGAGTACAGAAACCCTTGGATATCAGGACACGTCCACCGCGAAGGGAACCCCGGCTGCGGCTCCTTCCCATGACCCAACGATGCCATCATGATCTCGTCGCGGCGCTCCTGCTCAGGGCCGTCTGGCATGTGAAAGTCATCGCGTTGCGCAAAGGACTCCATGACGATGCGCTGGCCTCGCGTCATGCGCAGGCGCTGGTACATGGCCGCCGCCGCAGCGAGCTGGGAGCTCGACCCTTCAGTCTCGGTCTCGCGGCCGCCACGGATCTTGCCGAGCAGGTGACCCAGCACGGCGCCGTCTTCGAGCGAGGAGTTTGCGCCCTGTGCGAGGTAGGGGAGCATAGGGTGGCAGCAGTCTCCGGCCATAAAGAAGGTTCCCTCGCGGTTCGCCCACTGGTCCAGGGGTTCGATCCAGCAGAGCTTCCACTTGTGGACGCTGTCGACCTGGTCGAGGAGCTTGCGGAGCAGAGGATCCCAGCTGGAGAAGAGGCGGCGCATTTCCTCGACGTCGCCGAGGACTTTTGTCGAGCCTTCGGGTAGGTTGTCTGGCGAGAGCAGGCCAAGGTTGAGCATGCGGCCTTGTTTGACGGTGTAGGAGACGCCGTGACCCTGCGGGCCGATCCAGAAGTTTACAGTCTCGGATTTTATGAATGCCTCGAGCTCGGCTTTGTGGGGGCCCTTGAGGGAGTCGATTGGGATCGCGATACGGAAGGCGAGGTCACCGGTCAGGGCTGGGGGCGAGGGTCGTTCGAGGAACTGGGCGCGGGTCGTGGACCACATTCCGTCGGCGCAGACGACTACATCACCGGAGACAGTAGGAGATGACGACGATGAATTGGAAGTTGGGTCCAGGGTCACGGTTGCACTGGCAAAGTCCACAGAGCGAACGCGCGAGGAGAGGCGGATCTCGACGCCAAGGGCGGTGCAGCGGTCGACCAGGGCGCGCTGAAGCTCGACGCGGTGGAGGCCCCAGAAGGGATGGCCATACCGAGATTGGACCGTCTCTTGGAGATGCGATTCGTGGGCGAGGAGGCGAGTACCGTCGTAACGGTGGACAGAGAGGGTGGAGGGAACGGTCGCCAAGGTAGCGAGTGCCGGGTTTAGACCCCAGGCTTCGAGGAGGCGTGTCGCGTTCGGGGTGAGTTGAAGGCCGGCCTGCGGTCGTCTTTTGTGAGTTCAAGCTTTGAATGCTAGGGGTGTTGATGGATAATCGCTTGTGTGGGAGGAAAGGGAAGAGACTTACACCGACTTCCTGCAGTTCTTTGACTGCCTCGAGGATCGTCACACGGTGGGAGGGAGTCTCAAGTTTCGTTGAGAGAGCCGTTGCCAGACCTGCGAGACCGGCACCGATGATTATCACATGTATAGGTTCGTTGGAGCTGGCCTTAGTGTGCCCCTCCATAATGGACGGTGAAAGACTCTGCAATTTTCGATCGAGTTGGGCCGGGCGGGTGGTTGCTGATTTACTCGTCACACCAGCAAGTCGCAACAGTCTCTTCTCACCATCACCCAGTTGACCAGACCTTCAGAGAAAACCTTCAGAGAAACTGCTCGCCTTTGAGTGATCACTCCAAAGATTGCAAAAAGCTATCGCAGGCATAGCGCCGCAGCCGCGGCTTGGGGGTTGGGTTCACGGACGGTCTCACATGCGGAGTGTGGGGAAGACCGACAGGACGACGCCGTCCCTCGAGTTCGTCCCATTTGAGCAGTCTGAGGTGAGGCAAAGTAGCCTAGGGTATCTCTTTTTTATTTTATTTTATTTATTTTTTTGGCCTATCCGTTGCCATTCCCCCAAAACCTTGGCCAAAACCTTGGTGCCAAAGCCACTGACGGCTATGCTTTCCCCGTCCGATCTGTTGACACCGCTGGCGAGGTCAATCGCAAACAATGACGAATCCTATTCTGTCCCGAGTTTTGAAAGTACTGGTATCCAGCCCTACGCTTCGGGAACGAGAAGATCGTCTGGGTCAACGGCCCACTCTTCCTCGTCTCCCCAAGTCGGCGCGAGAACAAATCGGCCCATGATCTTCCCCATGCCGATACTGTCGCCACCGGCAATACCTTGCTTCGCCTTTTCGTCCGACTCCTCCACAATCACTGCTGTTGTCAAGAAGTTCATGCCCGCAGCTGGGCTGAGTTCTAGTGTTCGTCCGCCCCAGTCCAGCTCGACCTTTCCTGACTTACGGACCTTGAGTTTTCCCATCATACCAGCTTGGGAGACCAGCTGGTTGATATCCGTAAGGTCAATTTCAGCTTCTTCAGTCTTAGGTTGAGCACTCTCATCCGTCAAGGTAAGATCGACCGCTTCGCCTGGCTGGTCGAGCATGACAACGTCGTCGGGTTCTGGCTTGACCTTGGGAGCAGTCGCAGGGTGCAGAGGTGGAAGCAGGGGCGGAAATTGGAAGAGGTACAGCCGTCCGTCCTTGCTCGGAACGTCTGCTTCGGGTGCTTTTGAATTTTCGTCGGAGACGGTGCCTAATTCGCCCAGCAGAAGCTCCATATCGTGTGTGATCATTTCCACCTCAGGATCGGCCATCGGCTTTTTCGTCTTCGGTTCTGGGGTGACCTTCTCCTCCTCGACATCGGGGGTCGCGGATTTGACGTGGGCGTTGAAATCGACTGGTGCAATTTCCATGGTACCTGGTTCACCACCAGGCTCTGCCTTGACCTGAACCACACCCTTGGGTGCCGCATGCCAGACTTTGGTCTCGTCTTCCACCTGCGGAATAGCACCAGACCAATCTTCTCCTTCAACGAAGAGGCTCTCTTCAGCCTTCCCCTGTTCTTCTGCCTCGAGTTCGGCCGAGGTTGCAATTGTCTTCTTCTCCTCTTTCTTATCGATGCGGGCAATGCCCATGGGCCAGATATTACCAGGCTTGGCGCCGATGAGGGCCGCCGTCTCTTCGTCGTCAGAGTCGGGTTCGCGGTCGACCGGGTATCCAGCGAGTCTATCGGCATTGATTCGTGCTTCGCGATGGCCCGAAGCCTCTCCAAAGGCTCCGCCTTCTCTCTTTCGGCCGCCGCCGCCGCCACCGAAGAACCCTCCGCCGCCTCCTCCTCCTGCTCCACCACCACCGCCCCATCCTCCGCCGGATCTACCGCCTCCTAGATCCTGTTAGCTTTTGAAGACCCACTGAGAGATTCCATTCCCAAACATACCCTCCATATTCATTTGTGAGAACGGGCCACTGGCAACCGCGGCTCGCGACATGAAACCACCTCTACCCATGGCATCACCGCGAGCCCGCCGACTGCGACCCCGGGAGCGGGCTTGCGCACGAGCTTCTGCCTTTGCCCTCGCATTGTCTTTCTCCAGTTCTTGTCTTGCAATTGCATCACGCGCCGCCTCGTCTCTGCGCACCACTCTGGGGCGAAATCTGCTGACTGAAGTGCCCCGCGACGCGGGAGGGTTGGGTGTTGCGGTTCTCGAAGGCGCAGCGGTTACCGAAAATGTTCCCAGTGCTGAAGATGGCGTCGAATTCGATGCTGGTCCCTCGGCGGTTGGTGTGGCACTGCTGGCAGCTCCCCTTCCTCTGCCTCTCGTCCCTCGGCCTCGAGCCCTGCCGGCGCCTCGAGCCGGGGGCACTCCCTCTGGCATGGTGACTGACGGCAGTGGGGTATGAACAATGAACCTGGAGAATGATATTGTTGTCGACGTTCTTGCAATTGAGCAATGGGAGTTGTCGTATTTTCGGGCGGAGTATGCGACAATGGCAGGGCAATGATGCTGGCATCTGGTGGGAGAGTCACGGATGCCGCCTCGAGAAAAAGACGTTCGATTACCTCAGCGTAGTGGGGGACAAAACATCTGTGGTATTTGTTGCCCCTTGTACCGCCACCAGAGGTGGTGGGGTTGAATCACCCCGCATTCAAGCACAGATGCGACGCAACGCGACCTGAGTGCGCATTGCTCACTGGCCTTGTGCAGAAGGTAGGTAGGTAAGGTGCGTAACAAATCTGTACAAAGTATCTGTATTTGAGCCAGGATCGAGTCCAAATTGATACGGGGTCTTATGTGATGAACCAAACGAACAAGATGTGACTTGGTTTCCTCAATAGCCAAGAATAAGGTACACCACTGCTGATTTGCCTCCATTCCAAGACCTCATTTTACACACATCAGCGCTTGCTCCCCATAAACTCTTGCAACTGTCCCTTCTCGACTTAGCATGATGCCAATCCACAGCCGACCAGCTTCAACAGTGCTTGCTCCAAATTTCACAATGACACATCCCCTGACCCTCGCCGCCGACCACAAGATACCGTCTTTCGTCTCCATTTCTATACGTTTCAGCCTCCATAGTTCATGCTCTGTCAAGTTACTTTCTTCCTTAGCTTTTGCCTCCGCCGATCTGAAATCTCTTGCACCGATACGGGGTAATGCGCCAAACTCTTCGAGGAAGAAGTTGCCTAACGTCTGCATCTGGGGACCTCTAAGAATAAGCGTTCCAAAGAGGCCATTCCCATGCATAGAGTCTCGTAGCGATCTCCCTACTAGGCTTTGGCTGTCTCTGTCTAATATGACCGTGTCTCGAACGAGCAAACGGTTTTTGTGGTCGGGCGCTTCCCTTGCCAGCCATATTTCATTGCGTCCCGTCCACTTGACAAAGCTCCAATCCTCACCGCGCGCTGTTCTGCCTTGCGTCACCCAGTCTAACAGGCACAGAGATGCGTTAGGAGCAACTGTGAATATCTGAGTCTGCTCGTAAACGCTTCCATCAAAAGGCTGGACTGGATCTGGCAATTGGCAAATGCCGGAATCGCCTTCTACATGGACATTGAGCGTTTGGCGCGTAACAATGTCGGGAGACGCAGACTTGAAAATCTTTGTATGACCCTGTGTGACAACGCTGAGGTTTGCTCCTGGCAGAGTGCGGATGGACAGATTGACGCTGTCGCCCCCGACAAGTCCGCCGCCATAGGATAATAGAAAGACCAGAACGCTTTTCTGGTCGGCAGCCGGTGTCGGAGAAATGAGTTTCAGAGGATACTGATACGACATGGCCTTGAGACCTGACAGACCGTTGGGCAAGAGCTGAGCTACGATCTCGCCCTCGCCGGCCACCGAAGACGACTTAGGAAACGGAGACTGCATCTTTGCTTCGCTGGCGTGCGTTTGAGTTCAGTTTAGATGCCTCCGAGAGTAAATCTGGCAAGCCATGCTCAATCGTTGAGCCTGCTCTTCGTCTGCTGCAAAGGTTAGAAATAAATGGCTCTTGTTGATCACAAAGTCTCGAGGGCAACGCACCGAAAATCTGATTCAAATTTGGATTGGTCACTGAGGGTCGATATATCCTGTCTTTAGGGCAGATTGCTACTTGCCCAAAATTGGCTCGAGCATACGGTATTTGGTATTTGGTATTTGCGTGAGGGGAGGGTCTAAAGTCTGGGAATTCAGTGTGAACGCCAATTACTTGCCGGCGTATGGTTCCGTCTTCGCACTGTGCTGCCGTAGGCGCCTTGCGAGCTTACGGTATCCCTGGAAAGTAAGCGTACCATCACCTAGGTACGCAAAGCGGTTGTAGTCTCCTCACGTACAAACCCGTCCTTACTGAAAACTCAAGCTGCTATTAGAAATTGATGTTGACTGATATGCAATGGAATCGTCGTCGTTTGACACAAGACACCATGTGGCGTTATCAAAGAATTGTATGAAACGTGTGCGATGTGGAAATGGCGAGAATATAAGGTAGTGTCTGATTCTCAGCTTGCACGAATGAATACTAAGGTGTATTAGTAAGGCCATCAAAGGAACCTCAAGTATGGATATAGTTGCTTGCATTCGTTTGCTCTTACTCGAGTGAACACGACTATCTTACACGGCCTCGGTAGAAACCTACCCAAGATTCAATGAGGATTCTAAGGTAGATGAGCAAGCCTCCGGCCGCAAATTTGGTATGCTTTACCAAAGTGCCCGTGTGTATTCTCCTCAAGGAACCCAATAAAGTGCAAATTACCTTACCTTGATCGGTACATACTACCTTAGGTAGTAAAGTAGGTCGGTAAGGTAGGTATCTCGCCGTATCACCTCATACCTGAGGTGACTTCCAGGTTAGGTGCGTGGTCTTGTCCTTCCTTCCGCGTCTGGCGGACATTGCTAATTCGCCAATCAGCTGCATCATCCAAGGAACGCACAGCACCAAGGCAGGGACCAGCGCCTCGATCCACCACACCCCAACCCGGCCGTGTCCGTCTGCCACTCGCGAAATTGGAGAGTCCGTCACCTAAACATCTTCGACGTAAACGCACATACTCAACGCGACAAGTTTCCTCATATGCGCCACCCCTTCGGCCCCTCGCTCATCGGCGCGAAATAATTGTCCCGATTGCTGCGATCATCTGTAGGTATTCAGAGGATACTCAAACAACGCCTTTACGCGACATTATGGAGAGCGCGACAGCCTCCCCCGAACCCGAGTCGTCGCGTCGTCGATCTGGACGCGTCGTGCGAGCCCCCGAAAAGTTTAGCCCAGAGCCAGTCACCGCGCCCAAGCGCAAAAGGCACGATGATGACGATGAAGGAAACGAAGACGATGACGTTCTGTCGGATGCTACGATGAGCGATGCTGCCGACAGTGACGACGAACGCCCCCGCGCCAGACCCAAGAAGCGATCAGGCGCATCGCAAGGGAGCCGCGTAAAGAAGCCTGCGATCAAGAAACCAAAGACCAACGGCGTAGCCCCGTCTGGTCATTCCGCAAGTCTTCCATCGAGGCCGAAGAAATCCGTCAGAATCGCCACCGCCGACAAGCAAGGTGAGGGTCTATATGGTAAGTCGCTGCCCTGGGATGTCTTCGCCGATTCCATCATCTGACACGTCTATAGCCGATGTTTTCGGTTCGGGACTGCCCTCGGACGAGGTTGCGGATAAGTGGCAGACCAGATATCAAGTCAATGATGCCCTTGCTGTTGTAGAGCTCGTCAACCTTGTGCTGCAGTGCTCTGGTTGCGACCTAGAGGTCACTGAAGACGACATTCGCGATCCTGATAATTGCCAGGCTCGACTGACTGAGCTTCAAGATCTTTTCCAAGAGGCATGTTCCCATCAGAAAATGACATGGCCTTGTACCGCGGACCAACTAGCTAACTGAGTACAGGAGCAAGTGACTGAGTATCCCCTCATTTCCAGGGCGAAGAACACCAAGGCTTTCCGTGACCTCCTCACTGGATTTTTCAGGGGCGTTGTGCGCAGCGTTCACGAGACAGATGTCCTGTACAACGACGCCACCTTGATGGAGAACCTCGTCCGCTGGATAGCATCCATGTCGACCTCGTCACTTCGCCCTTTCCGTCACACCGCGACAACTGTTATTCTCTCCCTAGTCTACGGCCTTATCGATGTCGCAAACACACTCGACTCACGAATCACTGCAATCGAGCAGCAAGTAGCGCAAGCCAAGAGGGGAAAGAATAAGGCGAAGCTGGCAGAAATGCAACGCACTCTCGACGAGGCCAACGACAACAGAGAGTTGTGTGGCAACCACATCAAGGACTTTTTCGACACTACATTCATTCACAGATACCGAGATATTGACCCGCGTATCAGGACGGAATGTGTCGAATCCTTGGGATCCTGGATCATTGGTCTTTCTACAGTTTTCATGCAGCCAGAGTACCTCCGTTACCTCGGCTGGATGCTATCAGATACTGTCGCCTCTACCCGACAAGAAGTTCTAAGGCAATTGGCACGCATCTTTAGACGTGACGTTCAACAACTGGGCCACTTCATTGACCGGTTTCGGCCTCGTCTCATCGAGATCTCAACCAAAGACGCCGAGGTTTCCGTGCGCGTTGCTGCGATCTCTGTCATAAACGTACTACGGGATACCGGAATGCTTGAACCAGATGAGGTTGACTCCATCGGTAAACTCATCTTCGATAGCGACATAAGGATCAGAAAAGCGGTTGTCAACTTTTTCATCTCCTGCGTCGAAGATTCTATTGACGGAAAGATGGAAGAGCTCGGTGGGCAGGAAGCCCTCGAAGAGACACTCGGCGAAATCGAGGAGGACGATTACGACTCGCCTCGCAGTATGTGGGTCAATATCAAATGCCTAGCGGAGAACCTCGCGGCCTTTGATGCGCAAGTCGAGGGCGAGCAGCACGACAATGGCTCAGGTCTTGCTATTGCCGCAGATGTCACACAGGCCAACGTTCCGGACACGCGCATTTCACTTGCCTCCCAGGCCCTTTTCGAAAAAGTGCAGTATGTAAAGCAGTGGGAGCTCCTGGCAGGATACCTGCTGTACGACCACACAGTCAGTTCAAAGTCTAAATCCAAGTCACATGGTGCCTCAACCGAGACTGCCTTTAAGAAGGCGGTTGGGCCACAGGGCACCGAGGAAGCCATCCTGCTCGAGGTTCTGGCATCCGCAGTTAAGATGTCGATGCTGCAAGCAGCCGAGATTGAGAAGAATAAAAAGAAGAGTGGACGCCCAGAGGTAACTGAGGCGCAAGAGGAGACCGCTTTGGAATTAGCGACAGCTATTCCTCAACTCCTCAACAAATTTGGTGCTGACCCATCCACCGCTACGATCGTTCTCAGGATGGAGCATTTTCTCGACCTCGAGGTTTTCCAAACTTTACGGCAAGACTCGACCAAGTACGAAAAGTTGCTGGATGAGCTCAGCACTCAATTCAACAGGCATGATGACAAGAGAGTTGTTGCCGAGGCCGCCGCAGCTCTCCTCCACTCTCGCCAGTATGATGAGCTTGAGGAGTTGACTGATGGAAAGCTTGCGGTTCTGTGGGAGAACGTCATCAACACCCTGCGCAGCTTCGACAAGACCTGCGAGCTCTCTATGCGTGGCAATCTGGCCGAGGAGCACCTCAAGGCGCTTTCCAGCGTGCTAATGAAGATTAGTGAGCTTGCTCGCATATCCGACTGTGTAGAAGTCTTGGAAACGGAGGGACGCGCAGCCGACTCAATGTCATCTACGATCGAGCTACTCGTTAACATTGTTGGTCGAGGTACATTTGATCCACAGACCGAAGACATCGATGACTTGGAGGATGAGGTCGTCTCATTTGCAATCAAGGGTCTTCAGTTCTACTTCATGTGGAAGGTGCGGAACTTCCAGAAGCTTATTCAAAGCGAGACCGAAGTACCCGACACTGTGGTTGATCATGTTTCCGTTTTGCGTAAGAGGTATGACGTCGGCCTGATCAAGACTTTGTCGTCTCGAGCTATCATCGACGATATCCGTATGTTTGCCACTGGTGCTCTATGCGATATCCACGTGCTCTTCGGCTCTTTGCGAAACTGGACCGAAGATTCTCGCGGAAATGCAAACTACAAGAAACTAGCGAGGCTGGCACACGAGCTTGAGCCCAAGCTTCTGCCCGAGCTCATTGCAATCTACGATGGCGTTGAAAAGGTTTATGCCAAACGGACAAAGAAGATCCTCAACGAGCCAGCCGAAGATGAGGAACCAATGGACGACGACGACTCTGACGAGGAGGAGGACGAAGACGAAGGCTTGACTCAAGAAGAGAAGCTGGCACTTGAGCTCAAGTCTGAGAAGGCTCTTTGTGAATTGGCGGCCAAATATGTCCTCGCTATCGCCCAGAAGGTCCTTGATCAGACAGGCCCATACGCGGGCAAGCTTCACAAGCGACTTCTTCGAAACCAGAGCAGGCTTGGCAAGAACTTCAGTGAGGTAGTCGCCTACCTTGACCCCAAAAAGGTCCGAGATCACCTGTACGGCAAGAAGCTTCAGAGGTCCAAGGCGACGACGACCAAGTCCACTGCCGCAAAGCCCGCCCGTAGCGAGGAGATTGTCGTTGACGATGAGGATGAAGAGGAAGAGGAAGAAGAAGCAGTTGAAGAGCATGAGCCGGAAGAGGGCTCTAAAGAAGATCTGCGACGGCGGGAGCTACTCGAGGAGGAGGAGGAGGAAGAGGAGGAAGAGAAGCCTGACATGGAGGAGCCTCCTGCTACTAATGATGACGACGATATACTGGGCGACTGAATCAATTTTCTGATTGCGGGAGGATGAACCACGGCACATCTTTGAGTTCTTTTGCTCTGTTTATACAAGGATCATGGCTTCGAGCCCCCCCTGCTTTCCTCTCGTGCGCTGTCCGTGTGTGGCTTAGTCTTCACTTGCGGGATGGTCGGAGGCGAGGAGACTGGGTAGTGTCTAAATCGCTCTTGCGCGTAGGGTAATGCTGGGTGTGATGGCGAATGGGAGAGCGCTTGTCTGGGATGGCTCATTACTTTGAGGCGTTAGAACGGGAACAAAAGATAACTGGTTAGCTCTTCTAGCAGCTAATACGACACGATTTCATTGGGGACACATCATTTGCACAAGTCCTAGCGCCTGTGACGCCTGCTGCTGCCATCTTGTCATCAATCTCCATAATCCCATGCCCAAACTCCTATGCCCACCCAAGTAATTAGACACCCAAAATTTTCGTTCCGAAAAGTCCATACATCCGCTCCCATCTCTTCCCGTGCCCAGCATCCGCCTTCTCGGGATTTGGCTCCTTGACTTGGATACCGAACTGGCGTACACAGCAGGTGAAAGGACGGTTGGAGATGGCCTCCTTCTCCGTCTTAAACGGCCCGGCTGCGCCCTCTTCGTCGGAATCTGGGGGTCGGTCGGTAGTCTTCTTTTTTCCCACGTTGGCTATTTGCTTGCTGCCATGCTCGGCCAATTTCTTGGCCTTCTTTTCTTCGAGATCTCCCCAGAGAATGAACATTTTTTCACGCAACTGGGCCAAAACCTCTGGCTTCACGCGGAAGTCGCATGCGTCGAGGCCAGTCAAGAGCTGGGCGTCCATGTTGTCCACCACGACCCAAAATTGGTTCTTCTTCTGCGTCTTCGGGTCGTTGGTTGTAACGGCATCCTGGAGACAGAGAGTAAAGCGCCACTCCCAGATGAGCTCGCTCGCGTTCACAAAGTTGTCGAGAGTGCCATGCTCTTTTTCGTCATCTTCATCCTCCGAGTCTGTACCAGAGAAGTCAGACAGGGCATCGTATTCGTTTTGCTTGCGCGCGCAAGCGAAATCCTGTATGCGAGGTGGGTGAAAGTCGACCACACGAACATTGGTCCGATATTTTGCGTCGTGGAAAGGAAGTTTGACGACAAGGGGCACGTTTTGGAAGGTAAACTCCTGTGTTGCTGGTTCAAGGATGGCAGCCACGTCTACTGCCGGGTGTTCGTGGTTCTCGCAGACCACTTGCTTGTTGAGGTCTGGAGATGCTTCGATCTTCTCATCTTCACCCTTCTCCTTATCTACAGCTTGATTTCGTTTCCGCGCTCGACGTTGCTTGGAATTCCGAGGTTTCTCTTCTGCTTGATCCGCGAGCGGCCGTTTTTTGCCTGCTCCCTGCGAGGACTCCACTCCTTTGGACTGGATTTTGAGTTGCTTCTCGTAGTCTCGCTTCCTTCTGAGGGCATTCTTGACGCTGGGATGCAAATCCTCTGGATCTTCCGACAAGTCCAGCTTATCAACACATATCCCGTTGCCGAATGCATTCCGGGCTTCGCGAACATATCCCTCTAGGTGGTAGCCGTCGGAACCGTATTTGATTTGAACATTCAATAAGTGAACCCAATCATTCTGTTTCACCCTCTCTCGGATGACAGTGGCATGAGGTTCCCAGCAAGTGATTTGCATGGCTCGCTTTCCAAAAGGCCCCTGCCACTGGAGAGACGAGTCGGATTTCCGAAGCTTGCCAGAAGTGTAGCCGTAGGGGTCTCCATCCCGACCACCATAGTTGTCCTGACTTTTGTTGACGTAGTTGAAGAAAGCAGAGTTCTCCGTATAATCTGAGACATATAATCTCACCTTGTCACTGAAGTCGTATGGGGCTTGAACAACCTGGACGATGAGATCCTGGAACTTGCGGTCCCTAACTTCTTTCAACTCGCACAGCTTTTTCTTTATATTCAGTGATTGCTGAACTTGAATTTGAAACACGTCGGGGTCTGGGAGGGAGCTCTTGTCGATGTTGTGGTACAACCAGGAGACATACTTCCCCTCTAGGTCGTCTGGCTTTCGCCCTTTGTCCTTGGCCGATGGCGTTTGGGGGGGTGGGGTCTGTTGAGGAGGAGAGGGTATCTTCTTTGCCGGATAGATGTGAAGGGTTGTCTCGAAATTACTTAACAGAGATAAAGCATTACTCTGCCACCTGTTGGTCTGGACTGACTGTCAGTAAATAGAACAGTCTTCGGAAGAAAAACAAGCTAATTCAACTACTTACCTTTGCTCTGTGAACAACGACAACATCACCCACGCTGACGTTGGGCATGTCTTTTTGCGGACGGAAAATTGCCATCTCCACGTCCTGAGAATCATTCGAAAGAGACAAGTCAATGAGAGTCAGTTGACACTTATAATCTGTAGGACCATTAGCTCGTCCTCGGGTTATTAATGTTTGGAGAATGTTACCTGTTTTCTGAGTAGTCATAGGGGCACGAAAGCCCTTGACGAGACCAATGACATCCACAAGGCCTCTAGGCAAGGCCTTCTCTTCCAAGATATCGCTCAGGGGCGTATAGCCCTTTGGTAGATCCATTACTTCTTTGGCCTCGGTCTCCGCCATTGTCGAAGCCAATGGAGGGAGAAGTCTGGAAAGACAGTTGAGACGACATATACCGTCGTTTGCCGGTCTCGTAGAACGCAGAGGGTCCTTACGACTTCCCAAGGTCTGACTCCGTGTTTGGTATTTTTGGGCTGCAGATGCACTTCGATTTGCTGGCCGTTTGACGCGTCTTACACCTTGAGAGCTGCGGCTCAAAGGCGCGTCTTGCCCCGCCAAAATGAAAGTCACTTTACGCGGGTACCTGTGCGGTCTTTGTCTATAGGCATATCAGGTCGCCCGGGAAGAGGGGGAGGCACCCGGCGCCCCCTACCTGCATGGGTTCCTTATGGCAGGTGCCTAGGGTACGTGGGTACCTACCTGGACCAAGGTACGGAGGGGCTTTCAGCTATTCACCTTACCTAAGCACATTGACACCTGGCTGCCGCTGTCAGATGTTGACGCCGGGTGGATGAGCCCTTACCAGAAAGCACACCTGAGACCCTTGTTGGTAACCAGAGGGGAGAGCAGATTGAAGTACCTTGCTAGCAATCAGTGACATAATCCCCCGGGGAACCAGGCTCAACGACGCCGACAAAAGTCAAGGTGGTGCAGCGACCTCATACCAGAATTCTCTCCTCTCTACTGATTTAAGCCCTTTCCTTCAGCCTCAGCTATTGAATGGCCGCAGAACCAGCTCTGTACCCAGGGCATGGAATGGGACCAGGTAGGTACCGTCCTAAAAACCAGTGGACCTGAGGTGCCGGGAGGTTGCCTATCGTCCCTGGCACACTAGTAACCGCTGCTGCTGAATCTGAGATGCTCCCTCCAACAGGAGCCAGAGCAAAAAAAAATTAGCCACTTCGCTTTCAGCCACCGGCACCTCCCAAGCAACAGCCGTAGTTGGTACCTTGATTCAATTACAAGACAGGGCAAGACGAAAGTATTCGGTACGTACCTACTCCCCATTCGGTTCTGGCAGGGCCCTGCACTTTCCATTTCTTCGACCCGCTCTCTCGCTTCATCCCCCCTGACTCTCAGTTTCCTTCATCTTCCCCCCCCCATCATCACAACTTTTCTCCCAGCGACCTGACAACCATTTCAGGATTTTTTCTCCCAACCCGCGCAACTCTTACCCTCCTTTTGACTTTTGCGCGACACGATCCAGAAGACCCATCTCGATAGAGTCTCGATAGAGACCATTCCTCACTTGACGCCTTACTCAGATCTATTGGCGACCAAATATTGCCTTTTCCCCTCCTCCTCCTCCTCCTCCTCCTCCTCCTGACGGGCGGCAAGAACACACCATCCAACCGTCACCTCAACCCACGTAGCCGCAAAGATGGCTGATCGATACATCCCCGAACATCGCCGTACCAACTTCAAGGCGAAGAGTACCTTCAAGCCCGAGGAGCTCCGCCGTCGCAGAGAGGAGCAGCAGGTCGAGATCCGCAAGGCGAAGAGAGAGGAGAACTTGGCCAAACGTCGTGGCATTGGCTCTGGCGAAAACAGGCCCGGCGCTTCCCTCGGAGCCGCTCCCGACAGCGACGATGACACCGCTCCTACTGAATCCCAGGTGAGTTTTGTTCCGTTCTTGCGCAATCACGGCGTCCGACTCTTCTTTGTTTGAACCCCGCCAATACTGTTGCATCTTTCGTCTTATTTCCTCCCCCCTCCTGTTGCCAGGGCGCCTTGCCGCTGCCCCACTTCCCTTTTCGCGCGAGTCGGTCCCTCTTTGCATCGAGCCTCAAGCTCGCGCGAAGAGCTCCAGTCAAACCACGCACCCACAAGCTGCTCGAGCTGGTTCATCATGAACTATAGCCCCCTTTCTCCCTCAGAACATCCGTGCTAATCATGCTCAGCTTAATGAGGACCTCCCCCAGATGGTCCAGGGTGTCTTCTCAGACCAGATCGACCTCCAGATCCAAGCGACTACCAAGTTCCGGAAGCTGTTGTCCAAGGAGCGCAACCCTCCTATCGAGGAGGTCATCAAGACTGGTGTCGTCAGCCGCTTCGTAGAGTTCCTCCGATCGCCCCACACCCTCGTTCAATTCGAGGCCGCCTGGGCGTTGACCAACATCGCTTCCGGATCCGCCACGCAAACTCAGGTTGTCATCGAGGCTGGTGCAGTCCCAATCTTCGTCGAGCTCTTGGCCAGCCCTGAGCCCGACGTGCGTGAACAGGCCGTTTGGGCTCTGGGCAACATTGCCGGTGATAGCCCTCACTGCCGCGACTACGTCCTCAGCTGCGGTGCCTTGAAGCCTCTCCTGGCCCTTCTCGGCGACAGCCGTAAGCTTAGCATGCTCCGCAACGCTACCTGGACACTCAGCAATTTCTGCAGAGGCAAGACTCCTCAGCCCGATTGGAATACTGTAAGTTTGATATATTCTGTCTCCGCGGCTGCCCGATGCTGACCATGTCCACAGATCGCCCCCGCCCTCCCTGTGCTTTCTAAGCTTGTCTACTCCCTGGACGACGAAGTGTTGATCGACGCGTGTTGGGCCATCTCCTACCTCTCCGACGGATCCAACGACAAGATCCAGGCTGTCATTGAGGCTGGAATTCCCCGTCGCCTTGTCGAGCTCCTCATGCATGCGTCCACCTCCGTTCAGACACCCGCTCTCCGTTCGGTTGGTAACATCGTCACTGGCGACGACGTTCAGACTCAGGTGATCATCAACTGTGGTTCTTTGCCCTGCCTCCTCTCGCTTCTCAGCTCCAACAAGGACGGCATCCGCAAGGAGGCTTGCTGGACAATTAGCAACATCACCGCTGGAAACTCCGCCCAGATCCAGTCGGTTATCGACGCTAACATCATTCCCCCTCTTATCCACCTCCTGTCGAACGGCGATCTGAAAACTCGTAAGGAGGCCTGCTGGGCCATCAGCAATGCAACCTCGGGAGGGCTGCAAAAGCCAGAGCAAATCCGCTACCTAGTCGCTCAAGGTTGCATAAAGCCTTTGTGCGATCTCTTGGCTTGCCCCGACAACAAGATCATCCAGGTCGCTCTAGACGGTTTGGAAAACATACTCAAGGTCGGCGATCTTGACAAGCAGGCCGCAGGCGAGGGACCCGACTCTATCAACCGCTATGCGTTGTTTATCGAGGAGTGCGGTGGCATGGAAAAGATCCATGAGTGCCAGACTAATGCCAATGAGGAAATTTATATGAAGGCGTACAACATCATCGAGAAGTACTTTTCCGATGAAGAGGAGAACGCGGACGAGGGCATGGCCCAGGGCACCGGCCCCAACGGTACCTTTGGATTCGGCACCAACGCCGCTCCCCAGCAGGGCGGCTTCAGCTTCGCCAATGGCGGCGATTCGATGGACATGTAAAATACCAAATTGCCAGCGATCTTCGACAATTCTGTTTGCTGGTTCAGCAACTAGCCAACATTGGATCAACACCCAATCAACCCCACATCCCCCAATCCACAGTACCCATCGTCACCCATGCCCTTTTTGTCAGCGACGCATTACGCATCTTGCTGGGCTGACAGCTATACAACACCCCCCACACATACACACAATACGTGCAATCGGCGTTCTCTAACATGGCTTGATGGAAACGATTGACATACATTCCCGGTTGGGAGAAGACAGGTCCTTTGGTAGCTTCAAAGCTCCAGCCTGGGAGAGAGGAAGAGAAAAGACGGTGGGGCCGAAGAACGAATGACGAGGCTAAGTTGGCACAGGTGACAGATCTGCTGCTTCGCTGCTTCAGAGCTTTATGCCGGGATCTGGCTCGTCATGAAAGTCAACCTGGCCACTCGCGCGGACTTGTGCGCCATACGAGACACCGGCCACGTAGCGCAACATCTTGCCGCGGATATCGCACCTGTCAGGAGACGAGTTGATTGATGCTAGTGCATCTTGACTCCGGAGGGAAGCCTGAAAGCTACACGACTTGCTTCCAGAACCAAGTGGTATCTGGCTCACAGCGTTCATAGTCAACTTTCCGCGATAGCGGTCAGTAGCAGAAATCAATGTCAAATTCATGAACAGCGAAAGCAACTCGTGCCAACTTACCCTGTGAGCATACTGTGACTGTCAATATCTTCATATGCGTGACAGGAGGTTGCCATTGTGGTGATTAAAGAGCACAATGCGGGTAGGTACCTACTAGGATACCGGGCTGTGTGGCCCGTGTTCAACCAACATGCCTGCCCTGAGGCAGGGCCCGACATGGTCTCTTGACGCACTAGCAGCACCTAGGGCACTTGACGAACTACGAAAACTTACTTCAGGTACCTATGCACCCTACTGTGTGCTACCCTGGCAAATACGGGCCTCTTCGGATACACCTCGCAGTTAGCGGAGGGCAGCGCGACCAAACATCGGCAAACTGCAACCTGGGGGGTTGTCCAAGCCAGTCACATTTGCGCCAGCCTTCCCATACCATAGCATCCCCAAACTCATTCATATTTTAGCAGCTGTGCATCAACCCAAGCAAACGCAGAAGTATGCTTCTGCAAACGACTCGGTCGAGATCAAAGAGCCCTGCTTATTTTGCCCAGCATCTTACTCGACGACAGCAACGACTGCCGAACGCTTAGATCTATCCGCAATCCTACTACCAACATGGACGGTCGCGTAGTACGAGGCGTCCAACGCGCCGCACTCGAGCAATGGTCTGAATTCATAGCCAAGAGTCTTGCCCACCGCATAGATCCCGAGAAGTTCGAGTCCTATGTTCCCTTTCTCCAAGCGAAGCATCCATTGCCACCCGTTGCCGTTGCCGATCTCTTCCTACGACCGCAACCTCACAACCACGAGAGCCTCGACCCCCGAATCCCACGCTATCTCCAGGTCCTCTTTGGCCTTAAGTATATCGACACGCCTTCTATACTCAAAGCTTTGTACAAATATTCAACCTCTCGCGGACATTCCCGAGAAGCGGCACAGCTGCCCGATGTCGAGAACGCAACGATAAAGTTCCCGCGGTGGGGGAGCTCGTATGCGGCCGAGGAGGTTATGTTCTATAGGCTCACCAAATCTGTGGCGCAAGGGACCGCAATACAGAACACAGGGACAGACCTTGAGATTGCCAACGTCATGGCCAAGTGGATTGCGCTATTCACAGACGCCGCCACAGCCTTCACGGTTGACGTTATGGGGCAGCTTCACAACAGCCAGGTGAGAGAAGAGATGGAATCGGCGCGTGCCGCGTTCGTGGCTTTGCTTCTCGGGGTGTGCGAAAACCAGGTCGTTCTCAAGGCTTTGAGTAAACCTGAAGCCCAAGGTAGGTGCCTTGTGCTGCGGCGATTGCACGGTTAGCTAATCTTGAACAAGAAATCAGAAAGGCATTATCCGAAAGCCTCGCAAACTTCGTCCCGACTATCATGCAAAGTGCTGGCCCTATCGCGACTCGCCTCGATATGTTCCGAACGAGTACGCTAGCAGGCTTTGAGCCTGTCGACGAGCAGAAGAACAAGTCGAATGCCGAGATCGAGGACCTGTTTGATTCTACGGTAGCGCTCGAGAACTTTGTCGTTTCCGAACTACCAATTGTCAACTCCAGAGCTGGTCTTTACATATATCTCAATGCTGCAGTAAGTTGACTGAGGCTGTGCATCGGCAGGGGTGCTGACAAGGGGCGCAATAGCTAGTTGGCCGGCCATTAATCGATGATCTGGCCATCTTCAACTACTTGAACAATAGGTACCAGGTAAGTCTATTCGTTTCGCGTTTGTGTAGATGCAATGCGCACACCGTCTGACAATTGTAGGGCGATGTACAATCAACAACCGTTGATCTCATCCTTGTCTCCTTTGACGTACTAGCCAATGCCGCCTCCCGCAATGAAGGCAATCAAGCTGCGCATCTCTTGCGCTCGTTCCTAATGAACAAACTGCCTATTCTGATTGAAAGTCTGAGCAAGCATATGTATGGCCCAGTAAATGCAGAATACTGCATCACAGAAGCTCTCAGTCGCGTCGACACTACCACATTCCCCACTCTGTCATCAATGTTCGATGAAACCAGAAGCGGCAACCCCTTTACAGATTCGGTTCGAGAAGACTTTTGCTGGGCTTGCTGTCTTCATGGCCTGGTGCGCGAAAGCAGCATTGAGACTCTTTTGGGAGAAACACCCTATCAGTCCCTCCCAGCAGGCGGAAGATACGTCAAAGAAAACCTCGTTGCAGAATGCCTTGCAGATCCGGAGAGAATGCAGGCCCTGATCGGTGAGCTAGACAGTAAAGATGGAAACGCCGGCGCCGTGTGCCAAGCTTTGACAGAGGTCGGTTCTCGGTGCTCACAAACGCCGTCTGATGCTGACCTTTTCCAGGTTCTGGGGCAGCTTTGTAGGAATAAGGAGACCATGTCCCTGAAACTCTTGTGTGGCCAATTGGCTCAGAAGCCATTGTCTCTGGATGTCATGTTGATGTTCGAGAAGCCTGCAACGATTCTTCACCCTCTATGCGATCTTCTGGACAATTGGAAGTACGACGAGGACCAGGGGGAGTACCAGCCTGTGTACGAGGAGTTTGGCTCAATTCTACTCCTCGTCATGGCTTTCGCATATCGTTACAGCCTTTCGGCATCAGATATGGGCATCATATCGTCTGACTCGTTTGTGGGAAGACTGCTGGGCCACGGCCACCAAAGCCGGCCCTTGGAAGAGCTATCAGACCAAGAAAAGGGCCATTTGAATGGGTGGATCCACGGCCTTTTTGACTCGGAAGCCGGAGGATTGGGCGATGAGCTGATGTCGTCCTGTCCACCCCAAGACTTCTACTTACTAGTGTCAACTCTCTTTCATAATATCGTTCTGGCGTTCAGCACAGGACACCTGACCGAAGAGAGTCTCCGAGGAGGCATTGAATGTGGGAAGCCTGGAAGACTCCGACTTTGATTTGCGCTGACTCGTTCGCAGACCTTGTCGATACGTTTCTTCTGCCATCCCTCGTGGTGGCAATCACCTACCTTGCCAATTCATTATGGGTTGAGCGTTCTGACTGCCAAAAGGCGGTTGTCAGAGTACTAAACTCTGTTTTAGCGCCTACTTCTATATCCAACGAGGCGCAAGCCATGCTCTCTTCTGTGATGAATATAGTTGCCAAGCCGCTGGAACATTCTCTCAGGGCATATCAACGATCGGATCCCAAGAGCCAAGAGGTTGAACCACTCTTGAAAGCAATCAAAGACAGTATTCCACTATCCAGGAGAACAGGGGCTGCCGACCACACCGAACTCGATGCTTGGTCAATGGGAGGCTTCTCTAATTCTATCCGGCAGACGCTACAGCAATTGGTGCAGTGGAGCATTCACCCGACAATGGATAGGATGCCTCCCGCGTATACCCATCGACAGATGCTGGTGGCAATGAAACTTCTTGGTGCGAAACGTCTGCTTCAGCTCCTCTACGAAGATGTCAGACAACAAACAGAAACGGGCAGCGGGAGCATCATCTACGATGTGGCGACAGCATTGGTTTGCGCGCCCGACGTTGTGAACATGCCATCAGGTCCGATCAACTTTATCGACAATTCGGGCAATGTGCCGGCACCCGTTCAGAGAAAGCTTACTCTACGAGAGGTTCTGAAGTCAGATGCCGAGGAATGTAAAAAACTACAGAAGGTCGACATGAACATGGCCGAAATTGTTGTCAGACTGTACCGCAAGGTAGAGACTCAGATGGCCGTATCCCAGGCCGAGGTCATACAAGCAGACACCATGCTACAAAACGATCTTGGCTTGAGCCTAGATGCGGGTGCAGGCTCACTCGATGATGCCATGGCGGCCGCGGCTGCCAATGTTGCGCAAGGCGACGGAATGTCTGTAGATAACGTCAGTCTTGATCTAGGCCTCGGTGGTGTTGGTGGTGATCTGGGCCTTGGGGGCTCATCGAATAACGGTGGAGGGTCACTGGATCTGGGGGCCGACGATCTCTTCAGTGGCCTCGTGGCTGGCGATGACTTTCAGTGGGACAACATGGACCTTTCTTAGTAAGGAGTCGGTTATTTTGAAAAGATGAGACCTGAAGTAGGATCTCGTTGGTATGGATGGAATTACACACGATCAACGACGAGGCCTTGGCCTCCCAGGATAGCACGTCATATTGTATCTAATACCATCAAAAGCATTTCTCAAATTCATCCACTTCTTGTCATCACTTAGCATCCGGCCAGCTGCCAATAATGAATTGTGAGTTACACATATTGGTGAGTTCCCAGTCCTCAGCTCCCATTTCAGCCTTCATTGCTTCATCGCCCCGTCCTCCACACAAGCCTCCAATGAACATGGTGGCCATGAAGTGATCATCCGTGGCATGCGCCTCGCGATACATGGGATGCTTCATCAGGCTCGTTACCTTGCGCCTCAATAGCGGCCCGCCGCACGGCTTTTTGCCACGGATGGTCATCCCATAGACGGCCTGATCCATGGGGACGTCCTCCTCGTACGCTGGGCAAAAGGTGTCGATGACTTCTTGGCGGAAATCCAGCGCCCAGGGCTCCGGCGGGTTGGGTTGGGCAAAGTTGTCCCGGAACTTGAGCATGGGAGCCCAGTTGTTTCGGTAGAGGTTGTGGACCGAGCCGCCGGACCCGATGAAGAGCGTCTTGTGCTTCGCGGCTCTCAGGGGCCTGAGGGCGGCGCCGACGGCGACGTGAAAGTGCGGGTCGTAAAAGTCGTTCATGGAGATGAGAGTCGTCGGTGGGCAGCCGCCGGGGAACATGCGGATGAGGACGAGATAGGTGTCGTGGATCCAGTCAAAGGTCGGGTCCGTTTTGGAGGGGATACCCGCAGCGGCGAGGTGCTGTTGGACCGTGGGGATGTAGTCGAGGTCCGGGTTCAGTTTGTATGGATGATACTTCTGGGGATTTACATAGGCAACTGGCGACTTTGCGGGCTCGGGGTGTGCTGAGATGAGGACTTCGCCGGGGGCGTTTGTGGCCCAGTGGGCTCCCTGGTAGTCAAAATCAGTTGAGTTGCTCTCATGAGATGGCGGGGTGGTGTTTCACAAGAGGCAGTAGGAGGGAGAGTTGCCTACCATCATGACGACGTGCTCAATGCCCCGAGCGAGAGCTTCATCACCGCACTTCTTCCAGTAAGTAGCAGAGTTGCTCTCCTCGCCGAGCATCATCGTTGATCCGTGTGAGAAGAGGAACACCGGGTTCATAGGCCCCTCGTCTTTGCTTCCTACTGCCATGATGTGACACTGCGGTCTAGATTTCAACTTGCTCGTCTGAGCTGGCTGAACAAGTGAATATAGAGATATCAAGGTATCAGATTGTGTTCACGAAGGTTAACAAGAGTTCAAAGCCGCTGTAGCCCTTTCCAGTTGCAGAGACGTGAAACACTGAAATGATACTCAATGTTTGGTGTAAGTAATCGGCGGGCGTAGGATAGATAGGTCCATCGCCCAACTAGGTATTCAATTCAAACGGCGGCCTCATGTGCGGAAAATGGTTTGAGGGCGGGGGACACTCTGTTGCTAAGGGCCTTGGGTGGCCAGCACCAGGTAAGGTTGGCTCGGATGTGTAAGAGATACACAGCAGAGCCAAGACCCGGGCTAAAGCTGGGGCCGATGGGGCCGGCGGCGGCCACTTTTGAGCCGCCCCACGTCCCGAGCCGAACCCGAGCCGAGGAAAATTGCAGAATAATGATTTTGAGGTGGGCAAAAGATCTAGGCAAGAAATTAACGTCATCCAACTTCAGTCGAGGTTCCAAATCGCGATTTTCTTAACGGCCTTGTAGACGTTCTAATTACGGCCTACATCGAACTATCCAGCGGTGTGGATCCAGGTCTGAGGCAATTTTACGGCCTCGTGTAGCCGGAAATATGGTCAGTTGGCTGCTGGAAAGGGACTGTGAAAGATACTGTGCGACAGATGAAGTATCACAAAGTAGAAGGCATATATTTGAGGCATATTATACACATTGTGGATTTGCCGAGTTCACGAATATACTCTGGCTTAGAAATGGAGCTCAACCCCTGAGCTTCAGCGCATAATCAAATACCCGCCGTCCGCCAATCCATGTGCCGTATGCTAGACTCGGAAGCACAACGCTCATGATCAGACCAGCACCCAACACAAATCCTTGCTCGAAGAAGCCCAGTCTGCTGTTACCGGGCTGGTTTGTCGGGCGCAGCGGTGCGACGGCTAAGGCATGCAGACTCTGCGCGGTGATGGCGCCGGAGCGGGTGAGGAGCTGCTCCAATTTCGCGAGCGCGCCAGCAGGCTTCTCAACGAACTGCGGCCGAGCTACGGAGAACATTTCTCTACTGTAACGGAAGGTAAAAGCTGCCTCGTGAGAAATTGGTGCTGCTGGACCAAGGAGGAGGTTCGATGGGATTTGATTGATGACGGAGACGTGGGCGGGGAGATGTTGGGAGAGGTACTTTGCTGCATCGGGGCTGGCAAAGAGGTAGGCGGCCAAGAGAGGGTCCCTGGTCAAATAAGCAGCATATCTATATCGTTCAAAGACGTTAAACTCACTCGAATTTGTGGGTGTAGATAGAGTCTATAAGACCAGAAGAGGCCGTGATAGGCAGAAAACGCCCGCTAATCTTGATGTTCAAGAGAGAAGCGTTTCTGACCGAATAAGTATCTTCATCATTTTCAAGTGAGTTAGATCCCAGCTTACTTGTCCGTTATTTCAACCAGTTTAAAGTCCTTCGACCCAAAGCTTGAGGCGAGTCGCTTATCCTCGGCCTCCTGCACGGCCTTCCTCGTTTTGTCGCTGGCGCTGTCACTCGCACGCTTCACTGTGGTCTCACGAGCGAATGCAAGCGAGGCGTACTTCGAGCACGCCTCAAAGAACTCCTTCTTGATGAACTCATTGACAAGGACCAAGTCCGGAGCGTAGGGCGATCGGCCGCCGAAGCTGAAGCGTGCCGCCGTGATCGCCTTGGCGGCGGCCTCTACGTCGGCTGTTCGGTCGACTACGGCGATGGCGCGGGCGCTATTGGCAGAAACGAGATGATTTACACGACCAGTGTTCAGGGGTGCTGTGTTGGTTTGGTCTACCAAGATTGCTTGCGACAGCAATGTTTCGTCTATGGTCTTTTTGGTGATGCAAAAGGCATTTTGATTGAGGGAGTGAGTAAGTACGGTGCGGAGGACAGCGTCTAGCTGCAACAATGTGTCTTCGAGCTGTAGGCCTTTTCGTCAGCTTGTGAACGGAGGAGTCGATGTCGCGAATGATCAGGACCTACCTCAAGAGCAACGACAGAGCCGGCAGCCAAGGCCGCTGCAAGTGGACTCAGAATAGAGAACAGCCTGGTGTAAGTGGTCGGCCTAATGATCACCAGCCCGGCACCGGTTCTTCTGCTCGTGTTATCCTTGCCATGAGCGACCAGATACTCGGCCTCGAGCTCCTTCGAAAAATTGAGAGACTCGTAGAAGTGTCGAACGGTTTCTAGCGCCAGGAAGTGCTCGGCTTCGATCTCGGTCTTTGATGCACCAGTGTCCTTCTCCTGGGCGGCAATCAGGGCCGCGGACTCTTTGCGCAGCTCGTGATGAAGACTAACGAGGTTGTCCTGTCGGAAGCGAATAACTTCGGCGCGCCCGTCGACGATCGTCACAAGCAGCTTTTCCACAGCAGGATCCATTGCGGTGATGGTCTGGAGGAGGTCAAGGGTGAGATCAGTTACTAACAGGGAGGAGGAGAACTCGACTGAGACGAAACAACTCGATTACAGCGACGTGACAAGTTAAAAGAGTAGTGACAGAATGGCGATGCGATGTGAGGCAAGACCGTGCTATCTACATGACCCGAGCTCGCTATACACAAACGCATATTAGACTCTTGGAGACTCGGACAGATCTGATGAATCGGCGACTCAAAGAGCTGTCCGCGGACCGCAAGCTTCGTTTGAGCTAGGCCCCGGGTTGTTGGAGGGGGCGGAATGTGGAGGACAGGGGTGCTGGTCCTTCTATTGCTTGCGGGATGACTGGGATCAGGTGGACGGCAGCTCCCCAAACCGACGCTTGCCAAAGTTATTCTTCGCACTTCCGACACAGGCGTGGATCGATCGGGGAGGCGCGGGTCCGTGGCTACGGACGGGTAGACGGTCGGCATATTGAGGCGGCATCCTGCCTCCTCAGGTCGATTTTGAGGTAGGCATCCCCCACTCTCTGGGCCATCTTTACCACCTCTTGTTGAAGTTGTCCAGGCCTTATCAGGTGCAGCTTGTTTATCCCTTCACCATACATGCGCGAAAACAGCAGACTGTTCAAAATGTCGGCAACTGTCACAGAGAACCCCGTTACGACAACTATTCAACAAGACTATCTCCACGATTACCAAATTCGTCTCACTGGAGGGGTCGAAGAAGCATTCGCCAGAGGCAATGCGGACGCGCCATCGCCAGCAGCAGAGAATCCGGCCGGCTGGTACGACCAGCATCGCCAAGTGCCTCCGTACAGGCCGGTGAACACAAATTTGGATATTGCAGACAGGCCGTGGGGCTCAAACGGCATCGAGTCGGCCTTTGTGTATGTCATGTTGAACGGGTGCTGGCTTCATGGGGTGAGTGAGATGCGCAACCACAACACGCGACGCATATAGAGTGGGTGAGCGGACTGACATGAGTCCATACAGGTTACCAATTGGATCTGGAGGTCGACGGGTGGAAGAGTGAATAAGGACTACTTCAGGTTCACGGTCGGCGGTGAGATTTGAAGCTTTGAACGAGCTTTCCAGATGGTTAGCGACGGATGCATGACAGTGACGGATGATATCTACTCTGTGCAATATTCTCAATTACGGCTAGCTATCTCCAACACCGCCAAGATGCCACGAAATTCAAAATTTCCTCTCTGTCTCCTTCGTATGCTGGCTGTGATTGCCTGTGTCAGGGGACATGGCGCATGCAACGGGCACTATCTCACTTGCTCTATCCAGAGCCCGTACCGAGACATGGTAGAAACAACACAGTACTAGCTCCGTATGGTAGGGGCCAGCCCCTCCCCCACCGTTCCGCCCGTGCGCAACAAACGCCATACATGGAGGCGGAGGCGGAGGCGGAGGCGGAGGCGGGCGATGAGGAGTAAAGCAGAAGAGAAGTACCCGAGGTACCTACCCAGGTTGAGGTTTGGAGGAGGGTCCGATCATTGAGGCATCTTGCATCATCCGCTCCATTCATCCCATCGTCGGTGAAAGAATTGAAGCCCCGCAAACCCCGTCGCAATAAAACCCAGGACGGCTCCTCCAAGACTTATACTTTCTCCTAGAGAACGGTAATTACCCCAACCTGAGACCTTGAGGAACCACTGAACTTGAACCACCATGTCTGTCAAAACCCCTCCCATCAGAGACCTGCTCGAGGTCACCGAGGACCTGGAAAACGGTCTCACCTTTCTGAAGAACGTCTCCATCCCCCTCAAGGACTCGCCGCTCCCCATTCGCGCAAACGTCTACCTTCCGCTCACCTCGGACAAGACCGTACGCTATCCTGTTCTGGTGACCTACGGACCTTATGGCAAAGATATACCCTACGCCAAATTCTACCCCAAGTCGTTCAGCGAGGTCGCCCCAGGGCAAAGATCCAAATACTCGGCCTGGGAGACGCCCGATCCGGTCTTTTGGACGAGTCAGGGCTATGCCATCGTCCGCGCCGATGAGCGTGGACTGGGCCAGAGCCCAGGACTGCTGGATACCATGAGCCGCGGCACGAGCGAGTGTTTCTTCGACGTGGTCGAGTGGGCCGCAGATCAGGCCTGGTCCAACGGCAAGGTCGGCTTGTTGGGCATCTCGTACTACGCTGGTGCGTTGTTTCCCTTCTCGCATCCTTCTATGAGACCATTTACTTACATTGAGTTCCAGGTTCTCAATGGCGCGTTGCCGCTCGGCGTCCCAAGGGCCTTGCTGCCATCATCCCCTGGGAGGGGATGTCCGATTACTACCGCGACCGCTGCCGCCATGGCGGCATTCACTCCAACAAGTTCATTGGTTTCTGGTGGAATCGCCAGGTCCTCGTCAATCAATACGGGCGGAAAGACAGGTCTAAGCTGGACTTTCCTCCCGACGGCCCTGGAGCCAGGGGTCAAGAGGACACCATCGAGGGTGACCTGCCTGAAGACGTTTTGGTAGCTAACCGTCAGGATCAGACAAAAGACAACGAGTCCAACCGCTTCCGCGATGACGACTATTACGCTAGCAAAGAGTACAAACTCGAAGACATTGAGGTCCCTGTTCTGAGCGTAGCCAACTGGGGCGGTATCCTTCTTCACCTCAGAGGCAACGTACAGGGTTACCTCGGAGCAGGCTCACAGCTCAAGTACCTGCGTTTCATCACTGGTCGTCACGACCTCCCCTTCTACTACCCCGAGGAGGTTGAGCTGCAAAAGAGCTTCCTGGATGCATTCCTGAAGGGCGAAGACACAGTCGGCTGGAGCACGCCTGGCAAGGTACCTCCCGTGACGCTCACTCTGCGAAAGGGCAACGTCGGGTTCAACGACGCTGAGAAGGAGAAGGCGTATCCAAAGAGAGAAGAGACGGCCTGGCCAATCCCACGCACAGAGTACACCAAGTTTTACTTGGCGCCGGACCTTGGCCTGACAACAAACGGTTCCGGCCAGGATTCAAAGACAGTCTCGTACAAGGCTCTTGGCTCTCTGGAGAACCCTCAAGTTGTTTCCTTCACATCTGCTCCTTTCGAGCAAGAGACTGAGATCACAGGCCACGTTACCGCCCATCTCAACGTCTCAGTGACGCCCGACAACTCAGGAAATGAAACCGATATCGACCTCTTCGTGACTCTTCGTCACATTGACCCATCGGGCGAGGAAGTGTTTTACACCGGAACAGCTGGAGACCCCGTGCCGCTCGTCAAGGGTTGGCTCAGAGTGAGCAATCGCAAGGTTCACGAGGAGAGCCCTAAGCACAAGTCCTGGTTGCCGTATAGAGAGTACCTCTCCACCGACGTTCAGCCAGTCAAGGCTGGGGAGGTCTATGGCGTAGACGTCGAAATCTGGCCAACAAATGTCGTTGTCGACAAGGGCGGCAAGATCGTTTTCGAAGTCAGCAGCGGTGACACCCAAGGCAGTGGCATTTTCCAGCACTGCTCCGAAGTTGACAGGTGAGTTCAACTTTGCCCAATGCTTTTCGCGAGAACCAGAGACTGACCACCTCTTTTTCGAGGCCTGCGTCCAAATTTGCCGGATTGAACAACATTCACTTCGGCCAAAGCCTCGAGAATTATGTTACTTTGCCCGTGATTCCGCAGAAGTGAAGTGAAGCCAAATGAAGCTAGCTGCACAATGCGTGAATGCTCCTGCCGGTGTGTATTGTGTCCTACTCTCCACCATGATCTTGCAGGTCCTTTGGTTGTCGAACCGAGCATCCCAAGTTGGTGGGCCAGGGTTAAAATCCGGGGCCGGTGGGGGCGGGGGTGGGGGTGGGGAAAAGAGGGGCCTCAGGATTGTCGGAGCAAGCAAAGAAAGAGCTCCAAGAGCTGCTTCATCATGAAAGTGTAAAAGAAATGTAGCCTGCTGTGACGCAAGGAAGCCATCTCTAAGCCTAACCAAATTCCGTGGAGCGAACCGTTGATCGAACTTCTTTGCCATCATGAGCTTCTCCGAGCATTTCTCTATTGCCAACATTCCCTACGGGATCGCTAGTGACGCGAACCATGCGAAAAGTGTAGTCACAAGAATAGGGGACTCAGTCGTATTCCTCAATGCTTTGGGTCTCGGAACGTCCGCCGAGATCAAGTCCGCCTTATCTCAGGTCTGGCCTCTCGTTTCCGTCAATCGCATGTGAATGCTAACGGCAGCCGAAGCCGACGCTCAATGACTTGGCGGCTTTAGAGAAAACCGAGCTCAGGAGCCTTCGAAGGAACATCCAACAAGCCCTGTCCGACGAAGCGACACTCTCCAAATATGGCGTATCGATCGACGAGGTCAAGTTGCACCTGCCGATCAAAGTAGGTGGATTCACCGACTTCTCGTGCTCCAAAGAACATCTCTTGAACGCATCAGAGGCAGTCGTGGGCAAAGCCTCCATGCCACCTGCAGCACCATACTTTCCAATCGGCTACAGTGGACGGCCCTCTTCAATTGTCCTTTCGGGGACGAAGATTACACGGCCGTACGGGCAATATCGCGATGGGGAGAGTATTGGTTTCGGCCCTTCCAGGGCGCTCGACTACGAGCTCGAGGTAGCTTGCATTATTGGCAAGTCGACGCAGCTCGGAGACCGTGTAGCCGTGACAGATGCCGACGAGCACATTTTTGGTCTCGTCCTACTGAACGATTGGAGCGGTGAATTCCAAACCCCCATATCCCCTCGAAAGGCTTGGCTGTTGAACTAATGGCAAACAGCTCGCGATATCCAAGGGCTCGAGATGAGTCCTTTGGGACCAATGAATGGAAAGTCGTTCGGGACGTCTATTAGTCCATGGGGTAAGTCAGACGTTCCTCTCTTCTGGGAGTTGAAAGGGTGCTTGTTAACGGCGAATCACGTCGAAGTGGTCACACTCGAAGCACTCGAACCGTTTGCGACCCAGCCGCCTCCGAAGGATATACCTACGCAGTCGTACTTATTGGACAAGAAGGAGAAAACGAGCTATAGCATTGCGTTGAAGGCTGAAATATTGACTGGTGATGGGGCTACCATGGTGTGCAGGGCGCAGCTCGGCTGGATGTACTGGACGTTCCGCGATCTCGTGGCTCAGCAAACGATCAACGGATGCAACCTCAATACTGGCGATGTTTTGGCGACTGGGACGGTGTCAGGAGCTGGCGATGACGAGCACGGATGTCTGCTTGAGATGACCAAGGGTGGCAAGGTCGGGTGGAAAACGTCTAATGGTCAAGACAGGACGTACTTGCTGGACGGTGACGGTGTGCGCATGAGCGGGCAGGCTGGGGACGGCGTGGGGTTTGGTGACTGCGTGGGATTTATCGGGGCCGCTCGGCCGTTTTGAACCGGCATGGAAGTCAATTCTCGAGGCGGCAATGGCAAGAATCAGAAGCCTCGCAACTTGGACGAGTAAAGCAGGGCTAGAATAGGGCGAAGGGAGCTGGGATCCTTGGGAGCTTCGGGCTTGGTTCCCTATGCAGCAGATGGCCTCCACTCGAGGTCTCTTCCCTGGATGATTAACGCCGCCTCACATCCTAAATGGAAAAGGCCTACACCTCCACCGGGGTTTCATACGTTAGCGCAGTGAATTGACAAGGAGGGTCCACTATAAGTACTAATTCTATCTTCTTTACTTAATTTCTATAACTAATCTAAAAATAATACTTTTAAATTTAAAAGCCGATATTTTTTTTTTAAATACCGAACCTTTTATTTATATATATTTTACTATTTTCTTTATTAATTTTATAATAATTAAAATTAAATTAAATATTATTATAAAATAAAAAAAGATACTTATTTTTATTTTATTATATTATTTTTTTATAAATTTAAATACTACGATTTTATAGGGTTGTTATTAATGTTAGTAAAGTTTGTTAGTAAGTATTACGCTGACGTATGAAACCCCGGTGGAGGTGTATAATCTCCGTTGGTGCGCGTGTATCGGAGTGAAACTGCGGCAGTAGATTTGAGCGGTTCAGAGAACGGGAAGTACGGGAGCTACAGGCTGGCCCCAGATCTTGGGCTTCGGCCTGGATTTCCGTGGAACCCCCTGCAAAGGATCATTCTCTGAGTCTACCTATAAACCTATACCTAGCCTTCAGGACTTACCTGAGACTAGGCTGACTTCTCCCCGCATAGGTAGTCTGTTGGAGTCTTCGGGGGTTGGGGATTGGAAGCGCCCGGACCCACCGTACTGTACGAATAATTATAGGGGAAAGCTTACCATGCGGTGGCAGTGCGGCAGGATAAAAAAGGTGATAAATCCCCGGACAGAGTAGACAAGTGTTACCCCAGTGTCCGCCATCCAAATTCCAACAGCCAGTCCACGTATTAACACCCACGTCCCCTCGGTGTCGATTCCAAGATTCCATCAGGTATTCTGACTTCTGTCTGGTCGTCGGCAAGTTCGGAGCGGGTCCGGGATCCACTTGTCCGAGGTTCATGCGCACGAATCGATGGCAATCGGAGGAACGGGCTCGTCGGGTCTCGCACCCTGGTCCCCGTCATTTGGGTCAAATGTCCCGGTCGCGTCCGATTTCATGTGGGAGCGTAAGACAGATTGAAGTGATCAGATGGCCCAATGGTGGTCATTTGCGCAAACCGCACTGGACCCTCCTGCATCCCTCGCATAAGGACTATAGAGGACAGCGTCAAACCTCCCTAGTTGTGGTATTGAAGATTGACAAGAACATGAGAATAATACAAACGTGGAGGATTTGGAATTCAAACCCGGCGATTTGGAAGACAGTTAGTAGAAGAAGAAGAAGAAAGGAAGGAAGAGAGGAGAATGCCCAGAGTTCAGGGCTACAGCTCTGCAGACTCGGGACGGCGGCAGCGACGACAGACAGGGCCGAGGCGGTCAGAACCCCGAGAGCGAGCTTGAACAACCACGCGGACGCTGCAGGGCAAGTGGTGCACATGTGCGTCCCAGCTGGTGTGTCTGCATGTGCATGTGGCAGTTCGATGGCGCTCTCCTTCATCAGCCATGGAAGGCTCCTACCTACTCCTGGATCACAATCGGCAATGACCCTGCTCGTGTCTTATCGCATTTCTTATCGGACCAATGTGCAGGGGTTTTTGAAGGGGCCAACAATGATCCGGCGCGTGTTCCTGACTCCCGCGTGGAGCTGAAGGGAAGGGGAAAAAATAATTATTACGCCAGATGGCTGGCGATTCCGAAAAACGGGCACCGGCCTTGGAATTGACTCAGGTTCTCCCGCTGTTTCTGGCTTGTCTTGGATACCTCTGTCTCTATCTTTCTGTCTCTGACCTGATGCGATCCATCTGACTTTGTCATAAGGTATCCGTGGTTTAGGAATTCCAAGGTATCCGTATCCGTACATTGGAACCTAAGCCTACCTAGTAGTCCATCTTTCCTGACCCGAGACCTCCAAACCATTTCAAGGTTCTCTGCATACCTTTTGCCGCGTGCAACATCCAAAGAAGAAAAAGTGCTGTCGCTAGTTCCCGGCTGCGGCAAAAAAGCCTTTTACTGTTCGTGTGTGACGAAGTTCCCCAGATTGGAACCCCTTCAGCCGGCCTGGTCTTTCCCAGTCTCGCCTCTACCCTCTCTCGGCTCCCTCCCCCTTCTTCCGCTCCTTGCTTGCACACTCCCATTTGTCCCCCTTGTACGGATGCTCAGGGCATACCGTAAAATCAGTAAGGACCAATACTGGAGACGGCAGCACGAGTGCCAACGGCTCCTTCCCCGTCCCCAGGCCCACGTCGGCTAAAGGTCAATCTTATCGCGTCTGCACCTGCCACCAACCTTCGTCGCGCAAGAGCACCCACTCAACCCACAACCCACTCGAGGGCCACAATCACCTCACTTCACCGAGCGCACCTTCTCCTCTTCTCCCGCACAGGGCCCAGGAAGCGAAAGCTCTCGAACGATTTCTCCTGTGCGCCTGCACTCCAAAAGACTTTGAGCTCTCTTCCAAAAAGCTCAATTCCAGAAGCCGCCCAAGATGAGCAAAGCAGCTGCCGTCAAGGAGGCTGTCAAGGAAAGCCTCCTTGGCGCCGAGGAACCCGTCCAGCTGTCCGCGCAGACCAAGGCGAGATTCGTTGCCAATGCTGTCAAGGATGAGGCGTCAGGAGAGCTCTTCATGGGCCCCGACGAGTTCACCAAGGCTGTTGCGCCCGAGGACGAAGACTTCGTAAGTCCGATTTTTCAACTCTGACCTTGGCTTCTGCTCCTCTGACTTGTCCCCGTCGCCGGAGCACAAGCCAGCTCCGATATCCTTCCGATGAACCACGCGAGCCATTTTACTGACCCTAAAACTCAACGCTGCAGCACAAAATCAAGCGGGAGCAGTACGGCATTCTCTTTGGTATCGCCGACCGCAAAGGCTCCGGCAAGATCACCCTCTCCGAATGGGCCGCTTTCGAGAACCTCCTAATCAAGCCCGACGCCGAGTACGAGATCGCCTTCCGCCTTTTCGATGTCGATAGAACCGGCAATGTCAAGTATGAGGACTTCCGCAAGCTCTATGAGCTCAACAAGGGCCCCGACAGCATCCCTTTTGACTGGGAGTGTGAATGGGCCAAGCTGTACATTGGCAGCAAGAAGAAGCGCCACCACATGGACTACCCTCAATTCTCCCAGATGCTGCGTGGCCTGCAGGGTGAGCGCATCCGTCAGGCTTTCCAGCTGTTCGACAAGGATGGTGACGGCTTCATTGACCCCGAGGACTTCGAGCGCATCATTCGCGAGACTTCCAAGCACAAGCTCTCTGACCACCTGCTCGAGAATCTGTCGACTCTTTGCAACATTTCGCTGGGAAGCAAGGTTTCCTACGCCAACGTGCGCGCGTTCCAGAACATGATTAAGGAGATTGATCTGGTTGAGCTCATTGTGCGCCGCGCTTGCGCCAAAAGCCTTGACGGCAAGATCACGAGGACGGAATTCCTTAACCAGGCCGCCAAGATCACTCGCTTTTCCCTCTTCACCCCCATGGAAGCCGACATTCTCTTCCACTTTGCCAGCCTCGACGAGCCGTCTGGCCGTCTTGGTCTCGGCGACTTTGCCAAGGTCCTCGATCCATCATGGAGAAACGCTGCCTACGAGGCCGACGATGCTACCTCTCGAGTTCTTGCTAAGAGCACAGGGGCGTCTAAGGCAGTTCTCTCGTCGATTCTGGAATCCGCATACAACTTTGGTCTGGGTAGTGTCGCGGGTGCCTTTGGAGCGTTCATGGTTTACCCCATTGACCTTGTCAAGACCCGTCTTCAGAACCAGAGAAGCGCCAGACCGGGAGAAAGATTGTATAAGAACTCAATCGATTGCTTCCAGAAGGTGTGGAGAAACGAGGGACCCCGAGGCCTTTACTCGGGTGTTGTGCCCCAGCTTATTGGTGTTGCACCAGAGAAAGCCATCAAGTTGACGGTGAACGACCTTGTTCGTACCCATTTCACCAACAAGGAGGGCAAGATCTGGACTGGCCATGAAATTCTCGCTGGTGGTACTGCCGGTGCATGCCAAGTTGTAAGTATAATTCCTGCTCCGCCACAGTGTGGTGCAAGACAAAAGAAGTCGATGAAAGCTAATAAACTGCTTCACAGGTCTTCACCAACCCCCTCGAGATCGTCAAGATTCGTCTTCAGGTTCAGGGTGAGGTTGCCAAGACAGTTGAGGGTGCCCCCAAGAGGTCGGCTATGTGGATTGTGCGCAATTTGGGTCTCGTTGGTCTCTACAAGGGTGCATCCGCTTGCCTGTTGCGTGATGTTCCCTTCTCGGCCATCTACTTCCCTACCTACAGCCACTTGAAGAAAGACCTCTTCGGCGAGTCTCCCACTAAGAAGCTGGGTGTGGTCCAGCTGCTTACTGCTGGTGCCATTGCTGGTATGCCCGCTGCCTACCTCACTACACCCTGCGACGTCATCAAGACACGCCTTCAGGTTGAGGCTCGGAAGGGCGAGGCCACTTACACAGGTCTCCGTCATGCCGCCAAGACCATCTGGAAGGAGGAGGGTTTCCGTGCCTTTTTCAAGGGCGGCCCTGCCAGAATCTTCCGTTCGTCCCCGCAGTTCGGTTTCACCCTTGCCGCCTATGAGGTTCTGCAGAACGTCATCCCCTATCCCGGCAAGCCTGAGAGCTCCAAGGTTCACACGGGTGTTGGTGATGCCATCTCAACCCTCAAGGAGAATCTCGACACCAGCCCCTTTGCCCGCAGCCGTAACGCCCTCAAGATCATCTTGGACATTGACGAGGACTTTGGAAAGGTCAAGGTTCCTAGCCAGGAGAGTTGGAAGAAGCTTCCTGCCTTCATGCAGACGAATGGAAATGTCGCTTCATGAGCAGTTGGCTCGAATTTGAATAGCCAGAGAAAGCATCAGTGCTTGTTAGGATGAGAAACAAGTATCCAGAGTCACAAATCGGAAGAAATCGCATACACGGCTGGGGAATACAAAAGTTCTAGAAGAATAAATCAAAGACAGCGATGGCGAGACTTCTCAAAGCCGATCGCACAAGAGAAGAAGTTGGGTTCGGGATCTTCTCGATTGTGGTAGAGAGGTGGAGGTTGAGAGACTTGCATATCCCCCCCTGACGGCGTTCAAGGATAGGCATACAAAGGGCTTCTAGGGAATTCCTCAATTTATTTGGTTACTTTTGCTATTTTTTGTTTTGCAGTAGCCTTTCCTTCTTCTTCTTCTTCTTCTCGAAAGAATTTGCTCTTTTTTGTTGTTGTAACACGAGTTGGTATGGTCACATTTCGCTGACGAGCTGCACATCATCGATCCTAGGTGTAAATACAGTAGTGGTAGAATTCCTAGAATTGCTAGAGCTTTTTCCTAGGTTTCCTAGACTTCCTAGAAGATGTTTAGACTGCTTTGTCTAGGTATGCTTGAATATGTGTGAAGGCATTATAATGCCGACCAATCAGGCTTCCAAGCGTCTGAACAAGGCCAGCAAAGAACTGAGCCAGACTAGCCGCCTGAGTGCATGATTTACGAGGTATCTAGTCTCCTAGGGTATTGATTTGAAATGTGATTGCATTGCCAGCCAAATGTATACATATATGACAACTCTAACCTAGTCTAGTCTAGTCTTTGGTGCTCCTCATCATCCGCTCGAAGAAGCGAGTCTCTCTCATCGGCCTTACCGTCAGAGCCGCGGTACAAGACGTAGTGCTGGGTCATAAAGACCAAGTCATACACCATGGATACGTTGCCCAGCGCAAACTTGACGGGGTTGCCAGTGATGCCAGACCAGTCGCGCTGCAGGTAAGAGTCAATTGCCTGCTGCGCGACGGAGAGGAGGCCGCCGGAGAAGTCGAGCAGGATCTGCCAGATGGACCAGCCCTTGGTGGACTTGTTGCGGTAGTTTGTGATGACTTGTGGGGTATATTTGATGAGGGTGATGACGAGCTTGACGTAGGACACGGCGTAGACGACATCGAGGGCGCACCAGCTCGTGACCGGGTCTCCATCGCCTGGGGCGGATGCAACGATGAGCCCCACGATGGCGACGCCCACAATACAGCCCGAGGCGATGCCCAAAATGAAGCGGCTCGGTTTAGTACCCGGCGCGGGCGTGAAGCCCCAGAGCTTAGGGAGATACTGCGAGGTGGTTATGAAGGAGAGGAGGAGGGCGTGGGCGGCAAAGGTGATGTCGTTGAAGGCAACCGTCGGGGTGAGGCCGTGGTTGCGCGCGGCGTACTGGGCGCGGACGACGGGGGAGTAGTAGAACGCGGCGTTGGAGACAAAGTAGGCAAGGAAGCCTGCAGGAAGAGTGAGTTTTCTTGTCAGCGCCGTGCCCTGATTACATGCGTTCTCCACGTGGTGTTCTGATGTTTTACCTAGGCAGTTGATCAAGGGAAAGTCAACCGTTGTACCAGCCGTGGTTTTCCTGTGGAAATTCAGGAGAGGCTGCGGGTAGAAAGAACCGGACCAGCAAAGGAAGTAGATCCAACCAAAAACGGCGGACAGAAAAGGGAGGAATTCGAGTGCCATTTCGTCTGTAGCTGTTGAAATCGAGGTTGCCCGAAAGTGGTTGAAACTCCTGTACGACCGGATCCTTCTTTATGAGCGTTCTTGCGTTCCTTCTCTCCGGAACCTTTCTCTAAGGCAGGTAGTCAGCCAGCAGACCTCCAGGCTTCAGTTCGTGTGCAGGAGGAAGAGGGGGATGTTGATATGCTTTTGAGTGAACGCTATTTGGGGGGAAAAGGTCGCAAGAAGTTGTAAATGAGATGCTCGCCGTGCGCAGGATTGCGACATGGGACCGACCACATGGGGGTTAGCGTCGTCGCTGCGCTATTTCGGACAGCCAGCGGCCAAAGGTCAGTGGCCCCACCAGCAGCAAAAAGCACAGCGGAAACAGCACCTAAGGCGGCGGGCGGGGCAGCCCAAGTGACCAGGAGGCCGGTAACGAGGTTGCTGTGATAGACGGTGGGAAGCTCATCCATTCCAATCGTTCCTGTGACCCACTGCAGGTGGACCCTAGGGGACTGCCCAGGGAGGAGCAGGTGCGGGCGTGGAGTGGAGTTGGGTGTTGTCACCGCTGGGTGTGATGTCGCCATTGTTATATGGAACGAGAGTCTGACCGTACCTGAGGTAGAGAATTCGGAACGCAAGGCACCTATTGTCTGTTATGTCTGGTGCTTCCCAGCCAGCTTCAATCAAAAAAACACCGTATGAGTCGCTGAATCCAGATGAGATAAAAACTCATTCTCAGTGAAGCTTTTTGAATGCAGGAGAGCCCGTCGTTTGCGCAATACCTTGGCAGCGAGCGATGACTTTACTCCAGCTGCTTCGCGAATCTTGAACGTTCGGTGATGGAAATTGAAATGCCATAAACCCTCATCCGGTGCGGTGAAACTCATGATTTTGACTTTGAGATGGCGCCATGTCAACAGAACCAGCATCTTTGCCATCGAGGTCACCGCCCCAGCGCATCACGCCCTCAAGCCAGCTCACATAGACTTCAAATCCTGTGATGCTCCCATAGATCCGAACGGCCTTGACTCCCCGGACCCCCTCAAAAACATATAGTGCGCCGTGATCCGCACTTTGGAAGGCGGCCTGCCACACTTCGACGAGGAGCTCATCCACGCCGCTGAAAGCCGCCGTGGCGGCCTCGGCATCGAACGCCAGATCGCAGTCCAGCCGCACCCGGATGTGGAAGCGGCGGATGCGCGGGAGCACGGAGCGTTCCCGGACGGGCGGATACCATGATCGCAGGCGTGGAAAGGAGGAGAGCAGTTTGGCGTGTGCGAGGAATATGTTGTTGCAGTAGAGGATGGGCATCCCCTCGGCGTGGATTTGTCGGCTTGCAGCGAGGATTGCGGGATGTAGCCTTGTGTGCGGCAAGGATGAGTCGAGTCTATCCAGGGGAGGGTGGAGGAGGAGGTGGGTATAGATGTCGAGGCGAATCTCGCAAGGGAGCTCTAGGAAAAAACATCTTGGTGAGGCCATTTGTGATCGTCTCAATGTGATACGACAAGAAATTGTCTCTCGGGTATGTACCGGATAGTATATGAGGTGGCTACATAGTCAAAAGTGAGTGATGTAGAGTGAAGAGTGATGATGGCTTTATTAGTCTCTCGATAAGATCTCTAGCGGTGAACTCCCCAAGCCAATGGAAGGTCTTTGTTGGCGATACCGACAGGCAGATAAGAGACAACTGGTTCATGAGGTGCTGATCTTCGCCAGCCCATGTGAGTGCTGTTTCCCGTCAATGAGCCGGTCAAACAACAAGAGTCGACCTGGACGCAGGTTCTGCCATCCCAAATCAGCTTATTCAAGCTCTGGCGCATATGTGGACCTTGGATTCGAACCTTGAGCAGTATCTTTCCAAGCATCATAAATTCGCATTAGACAGGCATCAAGAGAAGTAGGGCATCCATCGCCGCTGTCAAATGCCAATCAGAGTGGTTGTAGAGAGTACGAACCGTATCAAAGCCATTGAATACCTGAGTCCAACCCGTGTGGAGCGAACCTACTCGCTATGCCCCGTCGATCCCCAGCAAGTTCATAGGCGAAATGCGGTGTGCGCCAAATCGGACCTCATGCTCGGCACCTAAGGTGCCACTTCCGGAAGCCCGGATGGTACATAACAGTTGAATCGGAGAGCAAGCATCACGAGGCGGCAGGATCCCATGACCCACCACAGGCCGAATTCCTAGATGCTTTGGTTTATTGATGGAATTTTCTCTTCTGGACATTGATTTTCCCAGCCCTAATTATACAGAATCGTGCTCCAATACACCCCGCCCATTGGCAATCATAACTACTTTACAACGGCTGGACTCATCCGCAGCCACGAGGCGCGCACATAGCTTTGCCTTGGAAGTTGCTAGCGTAACCTTTTCATTCTTCCAAGCCGCTAGGTCATGGTCAACTCAGGAAAGAATCTCGACAACTTGTTAGGATGGCCAAACTCTGTTCTGCTCTGACTCTGATCTTCGGCAGGCAGCAGTGAGTCTATGTCGCTGTCGGCATTGGGAGCAGCCTGCTCTAGCGCCGCCCGTTTCACCTTGATATTTCCCTGAACCGGAGGCTTTGATGTGTTGGTTTGCGCGCTTGAAATGGTAATGATGGACCTGGAGTCTGCCGGCGTTGATACTTCGTGAAGCTGGCTGGGAGACCGTGATTTGCGGACATATGTAGGCTCAGGGGTGTGGCTGCGAGAGACACTGAAAGGAATAGTCGGCCCAAGATTTTTTTTGGAAGTCTCGGAGGTTGGCAGGGACGTTGCTGCCGGGCTGAGGAGTGACGAAATCTTCTCGTTCGCCATGAGTCCCTTCGTCTGAACAAAAGCGCTTGATCTGGCGTGGTACGGGCTTCGGTCGTAGTACTTGTCAATAATCGGATGAACCATGACAGTTTGGTTATGAATCGTCAGAATCGAGTTTGTAGGAACATTAACCCAGTTTTCTGTTCCGATTAGTACGGGCTCAAACACCACATTACGGAGTCCTCAAACCATACCTCTCTCAAACGTCAGCGGTTCACTTGCGACAAGTACGATATCTGCACCTTTGTCTTGGCGTTCCATTTGATAGTTCCGGTCGGTTGCTGCCGATGTCCTTGTTCCCCATTCAGTACCGGACGAGTAGTACAGACTTGCAGCTTCATCTGTGGCGCTGCTGATGTACCGTGTACAGATAACACTTTTGCCGTCTGTGACAGCGAAGTTGAGCAAGCTTCGGGTATCGATGTTTTCCGCATGAATCGTGCTTTCTGGGATTTCATCAATCAATTCGTTGATGGTGGCGATGGTCTTCAGCATGGCCTTTCTTAACACTGTAGGACCGAAGCCGTGGGCGGGCTGCGAATCCGGGTCGATGCCCATCCTTTCGAGAGTATCGAGAAACAGCGCAAACGCCCACTCACTGTCTGTACCACCTTGAACCCCAAGGTACCACTTGTCGGCTAATCTCGACCCCAGCCTTCTCTTGATATACTTCCAACCCCCAAGACCGCCGTTGTGCATCCACATCAAGCTACCGTGGCAAAAAGGATGGCAGTTGTCCTCACTGAGCGATCCCTCGGTCGTTGCTCGTACGTGGGCGAAGATAAGTTGAGAGGCAGTCTTGGAGGCGATGCGCTGCAGGTTGGTGCAGTTCCAGGCGGGGATTGTCGAGGTAAAGAGGCAGGGGGCGTGGCCAAGCTTGGGATCCGTGTAGAAGCCGATACCGAAGCCATCTGCGTTGTTCTGGCCTCTTCGCGTATCCTATTTGGCCGCCGCCATATGTCAGTAAGTTACAAGTCATTTGCCAGAGTAACATACCAGTCTGAGCCTGGAGTCAAATGACTGCTTCAGGATAGAGTGCGTAGGGTCAAGAATTAGTTTGGAGAGAAGAATCTCGTCGCTTCCCCGATATACCTGGACTCATTCAGCTGCTGTGCGGCAATGCTCAATAAAACTGTACCTACCAGGAAACGACACATTGTGGGCGAGCTGTGACAGGCGAGAATCAGGCGGAGGATAATAGAGAAGGAGGGCGTTGGGAGAAGAGGTGAGTAGGTGTCGCGTGAGCGATGCGTCTGTCTTCGGTGTTGGTTTGATTGTTTCTTGAATAGCAACAAGTACCCCGGGGATGAGACGAGATGCGAGGAACGAATTCGCGAATAGGAGAAGCTGAAGAAAGTATTGGCCAGATTTATTCGTTTGATGAGCTATGGCGCGATCAGAAACCCCAGGGCGGTGGCGCAAGTTGATAGGGATGAGGTAGCAGCTTTCTTACTCGATGAATGCCAGAGCACGGAGTACCGAACAAGTCAGGTACGTGGGAAAGGGGGGGGGGGGGGGTTGAGCTGAAGGCCCGTGTGCCAGCACGAAACCTTCTATGTGAGTTATGGGCAGGGCGTTTGTATGAAGTGGAGGGTGTTGCTGTTAATCTTAATGAATGACTCTCAGCGATTGCGCCTTCTTCCGGGATTCTGGTTGTTCCAAGCTTCCAAGCGGCTTTGTGATTTCTTAGGGTTGGGGATGGATGAGACAAGAATAGCAGTGAGTCATTTGATCAGGGGCGGTATACGGATCCTAGGTAAGCAAAGCTGGTCAGCTGCTGGGATGGCCATGCGCAGTCAATCAATTTCTTGGGTGCGACTGGACATCCAGCGCCATCGGAGGGACATTGGAGCTGTGTCTTGTATGAGGTACGTCTGGGTATGACGAAGGCGATAAGGTTCTATGCGAGGGGCGATAAGAGCAAGCTATGAGCTTCGGCCTAAAGTAATGTGCACGGTAAGTGCCTAAGGTAAGGTAGCTAGCAGGGAGGTATCCGTACTTTGGTCCTCTTTTGGGGAAGATGGACGGTACGTCAATGTCGTCCCCACTAATACTGCCTTAGTGAAATGGGCTCTTCATGCAACCCGCGAGAACCCGCCTGATTACCATCGGCGCCGTTCCTCATTCGTCCCCGATTCGTGACATGTCAACGGAATTCTGATATTCACGTCTCCTGTCGGGCCGGAAGCGTTGGAGACAACCACGTCAACTATCACCACAACGACACCGCCTATTCACTTCAGACGCCCGAATCTCTGGCCTTTTTACTCGACTTCCCATCTCACATGCGAAAAACCTACCGCTGTCTCTTAGCACACGCGTCCCGTGCTTCGCCGGCAGCATGAGCGGACGTCTCTTGGCCGCAGGGCTTTCGCCATTGACGCGACGCGCTCCAGTCCAAGCCGTTCGACACTTCCACCGATTTCCCGCAGGCGGGCTCCAGCGAGCAGATGCCGCAGTGCGTGCTACGCAACGGCGCATGTGGTTCCCTGGCAATGCCTTCCATAATGCTGTTGTCGTGCGGAATGCGTCTTTTGCCCGCTTCCTACCAAAGCTGGTCATAAAGTTCGCTAGAATCCCCGCCATGTTCGGTGGTCTAGCTGTCGGAACCCTCGCCTGGATCCAGTACCAGGCTAACCGTACTGTCCTTCCCTTCACATCAAAATGAGTTGCCTTGCTGATCAGGCCATTTACAGAGCTCACCACCAACGCCTGGGATATGGTCAGCAAAACAGCAGACGGCATTTCGGAAACCACGTCTACTTTCTTTGGAGGTGCAAAGGGTATCATCGATCAAACGATGCGCGGGTGGGAAAACACGAAAGAACAAATTGAAACCCCAGAATGGCTGCAAAAGGTCTTACGTATCCACGAAGACATTGGCACCGGTGGAGGCGGTTCAGGAGGATCTGGAGGGGAGCCGCCCAAGCAGAGCAGAGCCGGTGCGGCTGTTATCGCAGGAGGTTCAGCTGCTGCGTATGGCTACGATCAATCCTCGGAGGACGACCCGCGAGAACCCGATGAGGTGGCCAATGACGACCAGATGATGATTTTGACGAAGAAGATGATCGAGATTCGGAGCATGCTCCAGCAAGTTGGACAATCGAGCACCCTGACGCTCCCTTCAATTGTTGTGATCGGTTCACAGTCGTCAGGAAAGAGCTCCGTTTTGGAGGCTCTCGTCGGCCACGAATTCCTTCCCAAAGGAAGCAACATGGTCACGCGCCGGCCCATAGAACTGACCCTCGTCAATACGCCCGAGTCGGATGCAGAGTATGGCGAGTTTCCCGACTTAGGTCTACGACGCGTTACCGACTTTTCCTCAATCCAAAGGACCTTGACCGAGCTTAACCTGGCCGTGCCGGACACTCAATGTGTGTCGGATGATCCCATTCATCTGACCATCTACTCGCCAAATGTCCCAGATTTGTCTCTGATTGATCTGCCCGGGTATATTCAGGTGGTTGGTCAGGGTCAGCCTCTCGAATTAAAGCAGAAGATTTCGGAGCTATGCGACAAGTACATTCAGCCTCCCAACGTTATTCTTGCCATCTCCGCCGCGGACGTAGATCTGGCAAATTCAACCGCATTGCGCGCCAGTCGCCGCGTGGACCCTAGAGGCGAAAGGACCATCGGCGTTGTAACCAAGATGGATCTGGTGGACGCTCCTCGCGGTGCCGCCATCCTGAGCGACAAGCAGTTTCCGCTGAGGCTGGGTTACGTGGGTGTTGTCTCCAAAATCCCGCAAACGACTGGCCTTTTCAAGAGATCTGGTAGCGTGATGACTGTCATCGCAAAGAACGAGAACACCTTCTTCTCGGCACATCCTCTGGAGTTTGGCGAGGGCGCTGGAGTTAACGTAGGGACCATCAACCTGCGTAAGAAACTCATGACCGTTCTCGAACAAACGATGTCTGCTAGCCTAGCAACGACTAGCGACGCCATCAAACAGGAGCTTGAGGAAGCGACCTATGAGTTCAAGGTGCAGTACAACGATCGCCCGCTATCAGCTGAATCTTACTTGGCGGAAAGCCTCGATGGCTTCAAACATTCGTTCAAGCAATTCACCGAGGAGTTTGGGCGTCCACAGATGCACCAGCTGCTGAAGCAAGAGCTGGATCAGAAAGTTCTCGACCTTCTGGCGGCCCGGTACTGGAACAAGCCTATCCAGGACTTGTCCCCTGCGATGCCAGAGCCGGACAGCTTAGCGGATCTTCCCAAAGCGGACCCCAACTCTTTGTACTGGCATCGCCAGCTCGACGCGTCGACTTCTTCGTTGACAAAACTTGGCGTTGGCAGATTGGCTACAACTGTGGTTGCATCGGCTATTCAGGCACACATTGATAGTCTGATCAAGCACTCCACTTTCAGCAGCCATCCTTTTGCACGGGAGGCAATCAACGAAGCTGCGTCGACAATCTTGAATGAGCGGTTTTACAGCACGAGCGATCAAGTTGAGAACTGCATCAAGCCTTACAAGTTCGAAATTGATATTGACGAGAGAGAATGGATTCAAGGTCGGGATCATTCAGCTGTTGTCCTGAAGAAGGAGCTCCAGGACTGCGAAGGCGCCCTCAAGAGCATCGAAGACGTTGTCGGCGGCCGACGAAAGCTTAGAGAAGTGATGAACTTTGTCGATCGCGCCCGTAAGGGTGATGTTGTGGTCGAAGGAGAGAGTCGTAGTGGTGCGGGAGGCTTCAGCGCCTCGCTCCTCAAGAGAGGTAGGTTGGAATTAGTTGCTCATGTGTTTGTTGATGGTGACTAACAGATCCCAGGACGTGAGGCTGTTTTCCTCAGGGACCGTGCCGACATTATCAAGATGCGTCTTATGGCTGTCAAATCTAAGCAATGCACCAGCCTCAAGAACAAGTACTACTGCCCAGAGGTTTTCCTTGATGCGGCAGCTACCAAGCTCGCGTCAACGGCTGTTCTGTTCCTCAATGTGGAGCTTCTATCGGAGTTCTACTATAACTTTCCAAGAGAACTCGACCTCCGGCTGGGAAGACACCTCTCCGAGGAAGATATTGAGAAATTTGCCAAGGAAGACCCCAAGATCAAGAGGCACCTCGAAGTCATCCGCCGCAAGGATCTGCTCGAGTTGGTCCTTGAGAAGATGGAGAGCCTGAGGCAGCTTGAGGGCCGCGAGAGAGAGCGGCTGAAGGGTAGCAACAACAGGCCTAATAAGGATGAGAAGCAGCGTGGACGCTGGGGGCTGTTTTGATTGGGATGAGGCCATCATCTGGCGACATTCCCATCCGGCCCTACTCATCTTGGACCTGTAACGCATTATGACCTGGGTGCAAAAGGAGTTTGGGTGTCTCAAAGATCAACGTTGTGCTGCTGACCTCGCTTTTTCTCGTCGCGTGAGCGGCGTAGAGCAGGCCTCAGACTGTCTACATGCAAGTTTCTCTATGGTATTTTTGTGTAAAGTGGTATACAATAAGAAGGATACCCTCCTCGACTCCGGTCTCTTGAAAAAATAGACTTTTCTCGCTCTTGGTGTGTTACTGGAATTTCTCTCTTGTTCTAAAGTAAATAAGCCGACACACTCTCAATGAGGCTTTGGCTTCGCTCCTAATTCGTACAACGCAGATATTGGCGATGAACCTTACAAGACAATTTGTCATCCTCACTGGATCAAAGGGTCGCTTCGACGCTCGTCTGCAAGGTAACCTCCCATCTTAGGCTCGTGCCACGTCCGTAGCCTTCCCCAAGCCTATTTTGGATCAGGGTTGATATGCGACTGCGTAGCTTGCTGATGGCTCCCTCGTCACAACCTTTGGCGACACAGATCTTTAGATTGGCCATGCATAGTCCGTAGTGCACCTGCCAAAATTGCGCATCCTCGATCCGTGCCACGCCTGGTTCGGCCTCGATCTCCCGTACCACTGATGATACGCCTTCATTACCACCGATGCCGCCGTATGACATGAGCAACATCATAGCCTGGGCCATGGCCAGCTTGGCGCCGAAAAGAAACATTGAGGCAGCGATGGCGGCGCAGAGTGTACGGTCGAGCCAGATATAGCTCTTGATGGATAGAAGTGGTAATAGTAGCAGTAGACTCGAAAAGAAAACCGTCAGGAAGTGGAAGATATTGGAGAAGTGGGTAGGTAGCTTGGCTAGCCACGACACACGCATAATTCTAGCAATGCGTGCATGGTTCTTAAGACCATACGCTGAAATGACTGTGCTTGTGATAGCCGCGAAAGCAGCCCAATCCACTTCTCCGGCCGAGACACGCTCGTGAGCATGTTCGTGGTGCGGTTCATGTCCACCCTTGGTTTCCAGCCAGTGCTTAAGATTGTGCGACACGAGATCGAAGCCTCCAAAGAGCAGGAAGATGGACATAGCGAAGCCGGCGAGAACCTCAGCTCTCTCGAGACCAAAGGGATGACGAATACTGCTACGGCGCCAGACCTCGAAGTTGCCTAGAACATCGACAGCGACGCATACTGCTGCGCTACCGGCGTCAAAGAAAACTAGGTGGGAGAGTGCCATCATGGCAACGGAGCCCTCGGAAATGAAGAAGAGCCAAGACGCGACAGCCAAGTGGCATAAGCTCCAATAGAGCCTGACGCGCTGGTCCTTCGACATACTTTTCCATGCTTCTCGAACGGTTGGCACAGGCAGGGAGGCTGGCAGAACAGGCGGCGGTCGCTGGGGAGGCTCTTGGAAGATCTGGTGTTGGGTGGAAATGGAACTATGCTTGTATCGATGGCCGCGGCGCTGGCCAATGTTCTGCGAGCCGCCAATGTCAGCGATCAATTGGCTAGTTGAGGAGGTGGAAGGGGCGCGAATCATTATCGCAATGGTGTATCTGGACATACCGACTTGACAGGCGAGGTCGAGATGACTTGCGTCTGAAAGTTGAAGGGGCTCGGGACGGTCGAGCCCCCAGCAGAAGGAGGGTCGTCTTCGGCCATGTCTGCAGCTGGTGGGAAGTCTGGACGAAGCAAGCCGGGTTTCAGGTTGGCGGGCGCGAGAAGTCCAGGGCTGCCTATGTGTGTCGATGCTACACCAGGGGAACTGGAGGTGCGGGGATGACGGCCGTCCTCGTCCACTGCCGCGACCACTTCGGTGGCTTCGTCGTTGATGTTGATAGATGGAAAGGCGAGTTGCGGAGGGCCACAGACGACATGGGTTGACGAGGTGTTATCACTTCTGCCGTTACCGCTTTGGGGGTTCGGTGGGGTGGCAGGTCGCAGAGGGGCGGAGGAGGGTTGGCCTGTGGCAGGGCTGGAAGCCATGGAACTATTTTCTTCCCAACGACGTTCCTCGCTGGGAAAAAAAGACAAGCAGGGACGGCGTCAGCAACAGGATCAATGGCGGTGGTGTCCGACAATCACCGGCATGCATTGTGCGTTGCTCCGGGGGGCTAGAGGTCGCAGGATAAGGTAGGTGGGCGAGGCAAAGAAGCACCAGGAAGAGATGGGACGAGACGTGCAATCATCGACAGTACGAGTCTCCAGGTTGGGAAGGTTGACATTCCAGTCGGTGTCACTGCTAGCCCGGTAAAAACGCCGGCCAAAGAAGGGACGACGGAGATCTGTCTCCAGGTTCGCCCCACGACGTCCCCCACAAACTGAAATGGTCTAAATGCATCTGTTCAGGGGAGAATATGCTACTACTCCGGGAATTGGCCCAATGGGAAAATATGCCAGGGGCGCACCACCACCCGCTTTCCTCGTTACCTCTCCGTATTCATACCTATCTTGTTGCTTTAAACCACTTAGCCTCCTTCCACACAGTCACTACCTACCTACCTAGTCCTACCTACCTCTCTAGGCACCTTGGCACCGAATCAAACCATGGAATGGTCCCCAGAGGTAGCGGCAGTGACTTTGCGACGTGCCTTTCCACGACCCACGTCACAATGCAGGGTCCTACGCCTTTTACCTCTTTGCAGTTAGCCCGCTCAGTCCTCGACCACGTCAATCCAAATCGCCAACCTGAGCTCTCCGTGGCTGTGACAAATTTCACAATCAAATCCAGAATTATCAACGATTGACTTGAACTGAACCTCAACCTCTTTCTCCCCCCTTCACTGCGCATTTTTGGTAGAGTGGGCGTCAGTGTCGCGGCCCGACTCGTACACGGTCCCATGCCTTTGACGTGAGACTCTTCCCCACCCATGCCTCTCGGTTTGATCCACTTTTCCGACGGGACGATAAGGGATTATCGCAGTTCGAATACCTGAACAAATGCAATGGACCATACTACGGCTGGCGGCGACAATGGCGCCGAGGGTCGCACGTATGCGATGAACGACCGATCGGCAGCAATACCTGTGTCGCCAAAGTCGGTCTCACTTACAAAGCATCAATATCAGCAGCAACAGCCGCAGCCAACGGCCCCCCACCGACGCACCTCTTCCGGCGCAAACTTCCTTTCCAAACTCCCCTTTATGCGCTCCCATTCCGATGGGAAGCAGCAGCAGCGTTACCAAGAAGCCGAGGACAATACTTCGCGGCCCCCGCCGACATCCATGTCGACCGTCATCCAGCAGCAGCAGCAGCAACAAAAGTCTCGGCGAAGGAAGGGTTCCCTTAGGAAGGTGGCCCTACTGGGAAGAGGCGCGCAACGGGAGCGCAAAGAGGCGAAGCAGCTTACCATCAATACCTCACATACCGTCTCCCACGACATGGAGGACGGCGCTGCGTCCCGATCGCTTGCGGCAGCTTTTGAACACGACCCTCTTGGGCTAAACATTGCGGACCTGACACCGCGGCCTTCAATGGATGGATATGCGAGCAGGTCGAGCCTGGTCGAATCCTCAGTATCTTCTCTGACGAATTCTGGACAACCAAATGAGACAGAGTCCACCATCACGAGCCCCACAATATCGTACACATCTACGACGGACGAAGACGATGTTTTGCATATACCGAACCACACACCGTCGCACCTACAGCCCGGCTCATCGCTCTCGTCGGGCTCCGAATCATACTTTGGCACCCGGCCTCGGCAGCAGTCTATACTGCAGGCGAAATCACCGCTTTCGTACAGCGGCTTGTCGACCACCGCATTGCCGCCAAACGACGCCGAAATCGACTACTCGGACACGGAATGGTGGGGTTGGGTTGTCTTGATCGTGACGGGGCTCGTGTTTGTTATGGGCATGGGGTCAGTCTTCGGGGTATGGAGTTGGGCGTGGGATGTTGGTACGACCCCGTACGCCCCTCCAGAGCTCGAGGACGATCCGACGCTACCCATCACGGGCTACTATCCGGCACTTATCATCTTGACCAGTATCATGGCTTGGGTATGGGTCTCCGTGGCCTGGATGGGAATGAAATACTTTCGCCATGCTAAGATCAGCGGGGAGTGAAGACTGGAACGGTCTTGGATTCCAGCTCATTCTATTTCCCTCAGTGTTCTCTCCGTCGACCATCGTGGTCTGTTGCGCAGGTCAACAAGGTCAGACAAACAGCGTTGGCAGGGTAAAGTCCAGGGCAAGGCGTTTTGTAATTCAGGGTACAGATGTCAAGGTTTCCAAAAGTAAGCGAGCGTCCTTTCATAATAGAAATTAGCAAGCGGGTAAGGTTTTGCTGTATTCCCAGAAGTTCATACACTGTCTTTTAACAGAATATTCTTTAGCCAGCTTGTCGCTATCATGGCGAAAGTCACGCAAGGATTCTTATGTCACGGGTGTTTCCGTAGCTCTAGGAACCATAGCTAGCTAAAGAAACACACACGTCTAATAATTTTGGGATTCAATACCATAGTCACAGCCTCGTATCAATGGCATTATTGTGTTGGCCATTCCTTCGAGCATATCGGTACTCGGAGCGAGATTGACAATCTGTCATTAAATGCTAGCCCATGTGCCCGGACAGCAACTCGGACCCGTGCGCACATTGACACGGTCAGACAAGTGGGTATCGGTACATCGCCAACACGTGTAGACAGGCTAGAACTAGAAGCGAGATCGAGTTGTGGGTCGAGAGCAGGGATTCCACGGTCTGCGCGTACATAATCACGAACCGAAGATAGACTTGCCAGCGGGCAGCGACCCAGCTTGCCAACCTCCTCCGTAGTAGGCGGAAAACAAGGGTCCACCGACTGATCTCGGTGGTGGGGGGGATGTGTGTATGGTTGGCTGGCCTCGGGACAGTAAACACACACATCCGTACACGGCTCAACTTGTGTTATATATGAATATGCAATACGGAGTTTTTGGCCCTCATGAGGCAGGCGCAAAGAGACACGGCTCTTGTTTGAATTTCTTTCTAACAGGTTGGTTTTTTTTGGCAGCTCACACGTAGAAAGTCTGACAGAGCCGGCCGAGTTGACAAGGTAGTACCGGTATTTCACTCAGCTCTCGAGGCCCTGCGAGACCTACGGTATGTAGGGAGATGCCTCGCCGGCGAGATTGAAAAAAAAAAAAAAAATGAAAAAAAAAGAGAAAAAAGGGGGCCGCCGGCTGTGAGTCTACTTTGAGACATGTCGTCTGGAAGCAAAACGACGTTGGCGACGTGGAAGCAAAGCCCGCCCGCAGCGATTGCTCGGCGGAGCCAAGTTGGATCGGCAGACGGCGAGACATTTTCGACTGGAGCTTGATGGACCTGGTGTTTTGCTGCGTTTGGGACCAACTACGACCGGGCATGTGAGGCGATGCGCCGTATTAATGTGCATGCTGTAGCTGATTTGGATTGGTCTGTTGCGCTTGCGCTGGGCACTGGCGCTGGCACTGGCAACTCGATGCAAGGTCGAGGTCTTGTAAGTACCCGCTGGCTAACCGAAAAGGTGTTTCTGTCGAGTAAGTCGAGTAAGCCGAGAGTCAGACGCATCACGACACAACTGGATAATGAAGTTTGAGGGGTCAGTGAGCACTGAGCCGTCACCGTCCGCGGTCATGGCAGCCCTCCCTCTCTAGCGTACCGGCCCCCTCTGTTCCTTCGATCGGGGGGCATGGTGTAGAACAGGATGAGGAGGGAATGGGGGGGAGGAAGAGGAGCATGTGTAGTTGAGGAAGTGGGGATGCGGACGCTTGAGAGGTTTGGAGAGTGTGAATGGAGCCTTGGCGGTGATGGTGGTGGGCACTGGTAGCACGCCGACCCGATCTAGGCCCACTTGCCAAGGTGGAGGACCGACGACGAGTGGAAAGGCAGGAAGGCAAGAAGGGAGCGGGCTTGCATCTCGTGCCAGTAATAATAAGCGCTGCTGTGAATTGAGATGGCAGAGGCGGCAAGGGAAATGGCGCGCGCGCACGGCCAATCAGCAGAGTTCCAAACCCCGATTCGTGGCCAAGGGCTACCTTATTGTGTCCACAGGCACTCAATGGTGCCATTGCAACTCGATAGGTATTGGAAAGAAGCTTGTGCGCCATTCGCATCGCATCGCATAGCATTACATCTCCGAACGGCTGGCGCATATCCCGGCCAATCGACCTGGACAGTGTTCGTCGTTGGGCGCAAGTGTTGGTCAGCCACAGACTGGTGTTTCTGATCCTGCTGCATCCCAGTGGACTGGTCAGCCGCCCACGTCGTACCGAAGCTTGTGGAAAACGTGCAACGGGCGGGCAGAGGCGGAAGGACAAAAAAAGAAGGATCCTGTATGCAGCAGCCCATGCCAAAGTCGGCAGCAAGGCGTCTAACGGCTCGCCATCGGCACGCATCGAGTATTCCGTGGTGTATGATATAACCCCCGGCGCGGCTCAGGAGAACCAAAGGGGGGAAAGGTCCAAAGAAATTCAGCTCGTGCGGATGGTTCTCCGGACAAGTTCCGCCAAGGAGACCGAAGGAAGGACCTGATGTGCTGTGACCAAGAGTACAAGACGGCTGAGGTGGAGACGGGAAGGAGAAAGCCATCGAGAGTCCCGACAGGTCGGAAGGATCAGGAGCATACAATGTACGGAGTAATCCTCGAGTCTATACCAAAGGTACTTACTACATAGTACACTGAGGGAGGTGCTGGTATGTAATTAGGTGGTAGGTATCCATATTCTGATTCAGAAGTTTGCAAAAATGTTCCGGTCGGTATCCATATACAGGGAGGAGACGACATCAGCGACTGCCCTCCACATGGCGCCGCCCTCCCTGCCGCCCCTCTGCTCTCATCGTAATTGACGGAAGGTACGGACAAGGTACCTTAGACGGGAAGGCGTTCCCTCCCGTCCTCTTTGGTGCCTGCCCGCCACCCTCCCGGCCTGCTACCTGCCAACCTTCCTGCCCTGTGCCTGCAAAACTAAATTCGATGTTGATATTGAACATTGATGCATGGCAGAATCTGTGCCCAGGCGGTGCACTCCCGTCTCCGACAGAACATGACCTCACCGCTTCCGAATCCAGGGGAAAGAGCAGATTCGGACGAGGCATGCTCTCCATGAAAACGACGCTCAGAGGAATGCAAAATCTCACACCATTTTGCGTTGGATCTGGGACAAGTCCCGTTCGCTGACGATTGCTAAAGACAATCGGTGGGGCACATTCCCTGAGGCTTTCTCCGATACCTGCCCAGGCCGATTGCCGCCTGCGCCCTGGTGCCTGCGTCCTGTGAGGTTCTCTGAGAACCTGAGGTGAGACTCGCACTACTAATGCCACGGCAACACTAGCAACGGCAGTAAAAGTACCGAGTCCAAGGTGATACAAGAATGCAAATGACGACTCTCTCCTGTCCCGAACAAAAGGCAATTCATTACCAGACACGCCCAAGGTGCAGCATCATAAAAAGGCCAGCAGTGTAGAAAGAGGAAAGAGGGGACTTTTATTCAAGAAATACTTTAACCAGGTGTGTAAAGCACACAAACTCGTACTTGCCAACTCCATGTGCGGCTTTGAAGTTGGGAGCATCCTTGCGTTGTGCCCAGCAGTCGCAGATTACAGTCGAACCACAACGGCGAGTGACCTTGTTCTGCGCAGTATCAATATAAGGCAAAGTAGACATGGGAGAGCACCGTGCTCAATCAGTCCAAGCAATCAGAGATAAGGATTGTGCAAGCTGCCAACATCAAACCGGACCAGCAACAACTAGTGCGAACGGTCGTCGCATCTGCCACCTCTCCTACTATCCCGTCGTCACACAGACTCTCAAACTCTCACCAGCTCGTTGTCTTTCTCAGGGTATCCTGTCTAGCAGCAGCCAAGGGCTTACGACACATGCAATCAATACACGGCCCTTCATGCACTACAGCGCAGCGTTTTCAGCTCCAAATTTCGCATCACCACCACGGATAGACATAGGCCACTTAGCTGCCTCTGCTTTTTTTCTTCTTTTCTTCCATCGACGTTCCATACCCCAGCGGCGTTTTGAATCGCAGTGGCGTGTTCAAGTCTTGATCATTTCTCTGCCATCCCTCTCAATGCGGACGACATGCATGTAATGCAATCACAGCTAGCACAGACTACTTGGAAAGTTACCTTGGACAGAATTTTGACGCCGTCAAGAGCACTCACTCCGGCGGTATTGACCCGAGCCGGTGGCTCAAGAACCGGGAGGCGGTAGAGAACATCGCTAGAAACGGCCGCCGCTCCAGCAGTCCAGAGTGCGAGGGAGGGCCGGGTAGGCACTCGCCGCTAGAAAACGAACAGGGGAACAAGAGTTGTTTCAAGAAACAAAGAGAATGCTCAGGTTCCTGGAGGCTGAAGGAGGAGGCGGTACCGGGCACCTGGAAAAGAGAGGGTCAAAAGACGGTGAAGGGATCGGTGGTGTTGAGTGAGCGGGAGCTAGCCTCACCTGGAGATACCTTGGCTGGCAGAGCATACCATGGCCTACGACCCTCAGGAGATGGACAGGCGATTTGTCAGGGTCTCTCCCTCTCCCCCCGGCGCAAGCAAGGCCGAATGCGGCCGAGTGTTGGGTGTGAGATGGCCGACACAACGGAGCGGCGTGACCGGTTCCTGCTGTCTTTTTTTGCCTTTGCCCGATGCGGAACGCCTGTACGGTTTTTCGACCCAGAGGCTCTTGAGAGTTGAGACTCGACGAACTCGGAATGTGGTCTCTGACCATTATCAGACTCGGTTCGTCGCGAGAGTCGCGAGAGATGATGCAAACCATCAAGTGCAGGATTGCCTGACTACCATAGCCCAGTCGAAATGCTGTCTGTGTATATGTAGGTGCGGTACAGACTTCCTTACAAGGCGCCGGGTTGTCCGTCTGTCTGCATGCAGCACAATGTGATTTCACTGTCCGGTGTCGCTACCCCCGGACGGCGTATGGTGCTTCTGCCTCGCGATACTCAAAGACGATGCACAGGAACTTGAGTTGGCACCTTGGCACGTTGGCAGTTGCGTCAGAAAGTTGACCCGGCCGGAATCTCTCCGGTCTAGGGGATGCATCGCAATGTTGTGCTTACACAAGCTTCATAACAGAGTAGAGGGGTGTATCAAGGCCAAGAAAAGGGCTTTGAAAGGAACCTGGAAGCAGAAGGACGGCGTCGGGAAACGGAAAGGACGTTATCGCCAATTCGCTAGAGGTATATCGCTGTTGTCAGTTGCAGCTCGCCGCGTTTGCCCTCAAAAATTGGGGCAACATGGATTGCAGGCAGACAGCCGGACACCCGTGACCTCAGGTGGCTGAGGTAAGGTACTCCAACATGGGCACCTCATTATAAGTTAATAACAGTCCAATGATTTAGCGGTCCGAAAAGATAAATGCATCCACTGCCTTGTGCCCGCCCCCTTCATCATGGTGGGCTGCTTCACCTTAGGTTCTGCTCATTTTGCCGCCAGTCAACTGCCTAAGTAAGGTGCCTGAAGGTACCAAGGTAAGGTAAGGTAGGCAGGCTTCAAGGTGTGTTGTTGCGTCCAAGCCCAGCCCCCGTCAGTCAGCCCAGCCCGCCCCCGAGACTCGCTCCCTGCTTCGCTCCCTGCTCCGCTGTACGAGTCCGTTCAATGTCAACCCAGGTAAGGTCAAGTACAATATAGTTGCAGTTCCCCAAGCTTTTTGGTGCGCCGTACTAGTAGGACCTGCCTCCAAAATCGATGTGCTGTGTGCTCCGCTGTTCCATGGTTCCATGGCCTGAGCGTGCCTATTGTCCATGTGTGAGGCGGGGGAGCACCCTGCCTTCCTTGCCTACCTTAGGTACCTTCCAAGGTACCCGGCCTCGATGGCCGCTGTAGCTGCTGCTGCCGTAACTAAAGTAGCCCAATTGTGCGATGAGTAGTGTTCTGCCTGCCCTACCGGCTACCTTGCCTAGGTGGTGCTATGCTGTGCTGGGCTGGGCTAGGCCGACACTGCACAAATCTCGCGTACGTGCGGAACTGATGCATCCATCCTCATCGTCTGCTGCTTCTCCTCTCCGCCCTCTCGTCTCGGCCCCTTCCTCTTTCTTTCCTCCTTTTTTTTCTTTGGTTTTTGAACTCCTTCCTCCCAACCTCCCCCGTCGCTCAACCCGCTCTTCCTCCTCACCTTCTTTCGCGTTGACCGTCAAGCGTCATCGCACGCATTGTCTCGCTGCTGCCGCTGCAAGCCAGACTTCGCTTCCAGATTGCATGCATTCGTCTTGTCTCTCGGCCCAGACTTTAGTTCCTCCTCCTTTTGGCTTTGGCTGACGCTGCCACTGCCATTTCACAGCACATCCGAGTCACGCTTCCGGGTGTCGGTCCTGAAACACAACCAAAGCAATCCATCACCCTTCACCCTCCACCGTCTTTTTGCCGCTACATCACACGCTCTTCGTCCGTCCTGATTCTCTTCTCTTCCTACAACAAACTACTACCATCCCCTCCTACCTCCTTTGGTCTCATTAACCAACCGAGTGTCCTCGGGAGCGATCGCGACGAAGAAAGAGAAGCCCAGCAACGCTTGTGATCGCACCTCCAACCCCTCGCACCGCACGAAACCACCTGTAGCATCGAATCGAGACGAGTCCGCTCACGCACGATCCGGTCCAATCCAACCCAATTCTCATACACACCCACACAAAAATATCGCCACCCTCGAGCGACCTCAACCCCAAACCTCGATTCCCCCCCCTCACCTTGCTCCTCACTCGCACACTACAAAGTCCATCCAACGATCCATCCATCCGTCGAGCCTGAATCAACATATCACCCCTATCAACTCTGTCAAAGGGGCCAACCAAGCTGGAAGGGATTTGTCATATCCGTACCTTCCCACGGCTGCACTGCCTGGCCCCATTCGACTTGAACAACTATTGAACCCATCACGTCGTCTTGCCTACCATTCAAGATGAGAGAAGTTAACTTCAGTATTCCAAACGTCAACAAGGCGTCGGTCGGCATCACGACCGCCCTCTACGACCGACGAGCCCTCGACTGCACATCCACCCTTCCTCTCATCAACTCTCTCAACCATCTCGCCTACCTGACTACATCCTCGGCTCGCATTCGCGATATTCTCACCGTTGATGGTGGCATCGAACGCCTAGTATGCATTCTAAAACGCGGTCGGAGCAAGGACATGATGGATATGTGGAAGTGGAACTTGGCCTTCCAGTGCGTTGTCAACATTGGTGTCAGGGGCACTGAAAACGTTCGCACCCGGGTTGTCGAGGCCGACATGGTCCCCGTCATCGCCACCATTCTCGACAATTACATCAAAGTCACCGAAAAGTGCAGAGACAAGTCGGAGGACAAGAGCAAGGATCATCACCACCGTCACAGGAGCCACGAACATCGCAGTGTTCACAAGGCTCCGTCCTTCACCAACAGATCCAGCCGTACCGAGGTTGATCAGAGAGCCTCCAGACGCCAGGCGCCTCCGCCTTCCATCGACGTTTCTGCGACTTACGCAGGCTCCTCCTCAAGCTCTGCGGTGGACCAACAGAACACCGAGTCCACACCCACTCCACCCCAATACCCGCTGGCATCCTCTGCCGAGCGACCTGCATTCCCAGCTCACCGTCACCATCATCATCACCATCACCATCATTACCGTGCCGCCGAGGCTCGCCACGTCGTTGCATCTCCTTCCCGTCAGGTTGTGCTGCCGTTAGCACCCGCCGTGCCTACCACTGAAACTATGGAAGGTTTCGTACGACCGGTTCGCGATGCTGACCGTCTTGCGTCGATGATGACTTTTGGCAACGCAAACTTGGCTTCGCAACCGTCCTCCCCCACAACCCCCTTGCCGCCTCCGCAGATGCGATCTCCTACTGTCCGGCCGACTTCGGGACTTGCACCCACCAATCGCTCCCGTCGCCGTCCTTCTATCCGCCACCAAAACTCCACCGTCGACTCGGACGACTTGGTTGGAGACGACGCGCCTTCCGACGAGTCTCCGGATGCCGAAATGTCGGGCACTGGCACTGAAATCCAGTCCGCCGTAAATATCCAAGATATCACTATGGAAGAGGGAGACAGCATGCTTGCTGGCTCTACCACGCTCGATCTGAACACTCCCACTGTGTCAGAGACGCAGGATACCGGAGCCTTCAACATTACCCATCGCGGCCCTGTGGAAACCAGCAACACTGCTGCTACGACGCCAGCCCCTGTCCCTCCCATTGGCCTGTCACCGAACCGCCCCACCATGGTCACACCCCCCCAACCCGCCATTCCCAACGCCAGCGTTCCCCGGTACCTGCTCGATCGGCAACTCGTACCCAACGCCCAGATGCTTGCTGCTATGCCACGTGAAGAAGACGTTCTGATGTCCCTTCAGTTGCTTGCATATGTCTCCAAATACTGTGGCCTAAGGTCGTATTTTCAAAAGAGCCACTTGGTTCCCAGGCTTAAGATTGGAAAGGAACTCCGCTATCTGGACGGCGAGGACGCTCCGAAGGAACAGATTGAAGAGGAAGAGCTGGAGGAAGAGTTTTTGCTACCCAACGACTTCAACATCTTCCCGCTCGTGGAGAAGTTCACAGTCCGACACCACAGTACAGATATGCAATACTGGGCCGGGGTTGTCATGAGAAACCTTTGCCGCAAGGATGATACCCGCGGAGGCATCCGTCAGTGTGCATACTATCAGTGCGGCAAGTGGGAAGAGTTTACCCGCCAATTCGCCAAGTGTCGCCGCTGCCGCCGCACCAAGTACTGCAGCAAGGAGTGTCAAAAGAGTGCGTGGGCTTTTCATCGACACTGGTGCGTTGCCGCGACGCAGTGAATCATACCACTCAGTGCTCTACAATATTCGACTATACCCCGGAAGGCGCCTTCGGAGGCGCAATGTTTATAATACGGATTCTTTGCCGCCAGCAGGCGGCACTGCATTGCACAGCACAGCGTTTTTTCAAATGCATGGCGTTTCCCTCGATACCACTGGTCTTTCAGCAGCATATTAAGGTCCGGCATTGGGTGCTTGCTATTTACGGTGACGGCATGGCTTCCCTTGATCCCAGGACGATATATCCTCAGTTTTTACTCAACCGCGCATACCCTCCGTGAGACAGACTGCTCAAGTCATCGGCGACGCACTAGTGCCTTCAACAACTATCCATTCCTTTTCTACGCTGGTCAAGGTTTGCAATCTTCATTTTGCCAACGTTGTTCTTCTGCGGCAACCATCAATGAGGCAAACGGCCTCCTGAGAAGATTCTGGACGGTAGCGCACGTATCTGGCAGACAGTGGATGGTGGCATACGCAAAACTAGTAACCACCAAATTGTGTCCCGCAGAAGTTGTGCTGCGGCATGTGGACGGTCTTTACGTCACAGATTTACATTTTCTTGGTCTTGGGCTGATGGGCTTGCGATTCCCGCAATGGTCGGGGTGGAGATGGTGGTTACAATGGCGGCCCGCTTGGATTGACAGGATGGATCAACTGCCTGTCATAGACGGCAGCATAGTGTCCTCCAGGTTACTTATGCCAACCCCTCTGAAATAGGATAGCACAAACAGATGGGAAAGAATTGCGAGATGCTCCAGGAGTCAAAGCTCCGTGTAGCAAGCGAGGATGATGTACGTATTGTTATGAGAGATCAACCACTATAATGTCAGAATTTATGCGGTCTTCCTAATCCACAGTCTGCAGGGCGGTTACGTACATACAGAGCCTACCAGTGGGAGGTGTTCAATATGTACTATGCCACGTGTATCGCGACCAGAAGTTGATTCAAAGCCGTTAGGGCTAAACTCTTGATGTATTCGGCGCGCTTGCGGCAAAGTCAATTGCGTGCCGTCTACGTGGAAATGGGATGAAATCAATGTCGCTTTTTTTTTTTAACCTAGTATAGACAACCCAATGTGGGCGAAAATCGAGGAAGCCAAAAACCAGATAATGCACCTAATCTGAAAATAGAAAATGAATCCCAATTCATGTTTCACCGGGTATTAACGGTCACCAGAAAGTGACAAGATCAGTTCTTCTGTGCATTTTCGTCGGCTCGGGGGGTATTCGCTCCTCCGTTCTAGCATTTTGTTTACGTACTTCCTCATTTCACCGCCTTGATGCTACAGAACACCTGTTTTCTTTTACTTATTCATAGCCTTTCTCCTGTTCTTGCCCGGCCGCTGCTGGGGCTTCTTACCGATTCCGCCCTTCATGCGCTTGGCATTGAACCCACTGAGGTCGCCGGAGCTCACGGCATCGCCCGACTTTGCGTGGCGCTTCTTCCCACCGAAGCCGTACTTTTCATTCTTCTTGGACCGTTTGGCGTTAACGCCGCTGCCAGACCTGCCGCCGCGCTTGCCGTCCGAGTTGGTGTGGCTCTTGATCTCGTTGTCGACGCCGACGTCGAACAGGTCAGCCTCGCGCGTGTCAAGGTTGGAAGAGTTTTCTTGACGTTCTAAAGGGACAGTTAGTTGCCGATTCGGACGAGAGTTGGTAAGGCTAGGTAGTCTGCCGGCACTAGGGACTTACTCCTCTTGAGTGTCTTGATCTTGTCGAGCGTATCCTTCTTGGCTTTTTGGCGCTCCTGCAGCTTGGCGACTTGCACCTGCTTGCCGAACTTCTTGAGGTCCCTGAGCTTTCTCGCCTCGGCGGCGGCCTTCTTGGAACTAGCCTCCTCGATGAGCTTGGCCTTGACCTTTTCCATCTGGCCGTCGTCCTTGACCATCTCTGCAAAGTAGTCCTTGGGGCGGGAAAACGGGGTGCCTTCCTTGATCAGGAGCGCGCGGCCCTTGCGCGCGGCCTCGAGGGATTGCGAGAGCAGGGCGAGCTCGCGCTGTAGATCATCCTGGGCGTCGGGCACAGCCTCGGCGGTGAGTTTGGAGGAGGCGACGGTCATGTGCGACGTGAAGGGGGCTGCGGAAGAGGTGTCGATGCGGATGCGGTTCAGAGAGGCCAGGAGGGCGGCCTTGTTGTTGATGGTGAGCTTGGTGTGGGGGATAATGTCCTCGAGATCCTCGTCGTCGCCTTCGAGATCCGACAAAGGAACGTCATCCTCTTCGGGATCAACCTCCGAGTCGTCCTCGTCGTCCTCGTCTGTAGCGCCATCTTTCTGTGTAATTTTTGTCGGTGTCTTGTTGGCTGTCTTGGCCTTCTTGGATGGGCGCTCAATCTTTGCTTCCATCTCGATATCGGAGTCGCTGTCGCTGTCTGTGTCGTCCAATGCTTCGATGTCAAGCTGTATTTTGCATTTCAGTGAGCATTCAAGGAGTTTGGAAATTTGCGCGCGGTACAACTAGCACTTACCTTGTCATCCTCTTCTGCGTCTTCCTCTTCTAAGTCCGAGTCGGAACCTAAGTCGGCATCCTCGAACTCTGCGTTCAAAGTGATGCCGCCTTCAATGGAGATGACAGAAGCGTCATCCTCGTCCTCGCTCTCGTCCCCGCCCATTTCCTCATCCTCGTCATCCTCTTCGACGCCCTTGTTCTTCTTCTGCTTCTTCTCTTGTGCCTTGGCGATTTCGCGGTGCTTCGCCTTGATCTTACGCTCTTCCTTGACCTTGCGGAGGTCGATGCCCTTCTCGGCCGCTAACGCAAGCTTAAGTTTGGATTTGATGACCATTTCTGCGATCAACTTCTGAGTTGCACTGATGTTGTGTTGGTCGCAAAAGTGTGCCCGTTCAACACACTGGTCGGGCGTACTGCGTCAACGTGGGGAGGGTACTAAAGAAAAAATGTCGATTGAAAATAATTCTGCCGCTTTGATGATCCACCCAGTCGAGGCGGTCAAGAGGTGTGGTGGGGTCATTCCCCATGGTGTGCACGGCCCCCAGTCTTTTAGCACTTACTGGTCAACCTTTTTCGTCATTGAAGCCCACTCGGGATTGAAGATGACCTTACCAGAAAGAATAAATTACAGTCGGTCACATCATATTCTGCTCTATTTATGTTGATGAGCAGCACCTGTTATTCTGGGTTGTTGAAGACACTATGCATAACATCCTGTCCGCTCTATCTAGACGAGGCTAGTGAGAGCTGGATTAGTAATTGGGTTATTGACGACCAGCGAATACCTGGTGTTGTTTGTTTTTTGCTTCTTTTGGATTATGTCTACACTCCATGGAAGCGATTAGGTGACAGGATAGACAGGCAGAGGCTTTAACCTTGACTGAAATGTGTTATAACTACGAGCAATGACGTCCCAAGTACAATGGATTTCATGCCTTGCGTCTACAATGTATACTATGTACTATGCTTCAAGACGGCAGCATGACTTCGACAAGACAAAGCGCGCCACTGATCATAGTCAAGGAGACATCATTCGAAAGACATCCCCGAAGAAGGAAGTTGGTGCTCGTCAAGAATCGAATGATGCATGTTTTCGGGATGGAGCATTCGACCACTTTGGTTGTGATCCACTCTTCACTGTGAGAAGCATTGCTGGGCACATTGGTGACTGGGATGCTCAAAGACTTGCTTCCAAGCGTACCCAAGCTGATAGGTCCATGGTTGTTTTGGCTCGGCGGGGGCTCGAATGGTGTATAGTGTTCAGCTTAGATCCTGGCAGTCAAGTACGAAGAGTAGGTTGTGTCATAGTGCAGACTGGGGAGTAAGGCTCGGGACAGCAGTGACGGGGGAGGTCGCCGTCGTCTGTCTCATAGTATGACGCATGCATTGACAGTAACGCCGTGGGTGCCAAATTGGCCGGGTTCTATGGCATCTGTCTTCGCTAAAGAAGATTGGTCGCTGCTAGACTTTGGCTTCAGCTTGATTTTACAACACTCGGGCACAGCCTCCATTTCGACTGCTTGGGTCTTTGGTTCGTGTTGAGAAAGGGTTTTGGCTCGGTATCGAAAGGCGTAAAGGGAAATGTCCTAGTCTGCGGCTTGAGTGGAGGATGGCAACCGTAGACTTTGGGTTGCTTTGCAAAAGACGGACACAACATATCGAAGTCTCGGGGGATATCCCTTTGCTTTTAATGCTAGCAATCCTTCTCGTCTCCAGCAGTGCCGCTGCTGTCGAATTCCATTGCGACTGTGCTGGATAGTGTGCTAGAGTTGCATTGTTCCTTCACAGGATCTAACACAGCGACGGACAGAGAACTTGTCCGAGACGGAAATGAAGGGCTTCGGTTGATGCATGAGAATCCAAGGACTGTTATGAAAACATACGCTCTTTGACTGGGAGGCCGGAAATACTCGTGGATACCCAACCCGTTCCGATCTGTTATTGCTGACGATAACACAGCGTGGACAATTAGAACTCAGCATCCATTAAGTCAATACAGCGGCCAACAGAGAATTTCATCTTCTTTGCCAAGCTCTAAAGGCTGTGCTCTCCTGGTCTGGTGGCAGCTTTGATGTGCTTGAGATAGCAGCAACACACGTCATACGGTACGGAAGCAAGGGTTTCGGAGCGTTGCAGTGTCACTAGGTGGTCACACTGACAGGATATTCCGGAGCCTTGCAAGGTCTGCGACCCAGCGCAACCCAGGAAAGTTGTTTGATCACTTTCCCGAATGTGAGTAGCCCTAGATACAGGTGGCAGCGGCAAAGGACTTGGGGGAAATGCACGGAGGGGGCTTGAAGAAAGCCGTTCTTGGAGGTTCATGTCAGCACAACCCCTTTGAACAAGAAACAGTCGGCTTTAATCCTGTTAACAACAGAAACTAATCAAGTCATTGGCACACTGACCAACGGTTGTTCTCCAAAATCGGGCAGCTTTCTGAGATATTGATTACCATGTGACCTGTAATCCCCTGATAGTCTTGGGTTGGGCAACCTCGTGTAGTGGCTACCACTGTCTTTAGTTGAATTGAATGGCGAAAAACGAAGGGAAACTCAATGAATTTTAGGCGTGTGATGCTTTGTGCATGGAACTGCTTCCAAATGTGACAGGAGGGTTGTATCACCTCTCAGGTAAAAGTAAGGTGCCTCTCACCGGGTCCGATGTTTGACGGCAGGAGAGGCCATCCCTGTAGCCGAAGACGTGCCACATCGACAGGGCTCAAAGTGACACAGTCTCGTGTCCTTGCATTTACTACCATAGGGAATCGAATGATTGACACCTTTATTGACATTGCCACTAAGCCAAAACTCCTCGCGCCCAAACCAGCAACTGATGACAGACCAGTGAAAGTAATATACTATGTTGTTCATATTATGCCGAAGTATCTATTTGCTGTGGCTGCGACCAATAACAGAGTACCTCTCTCTTAGAACCGGGTGAAGGGAAGCCTATCAACAAAGTCAGTCTTCTCAGTCAAAACCAAGGGAAGTGAAGTGCCGGATGCGATAGTGTACACGTACCATTTGCCCTTGAGGGTAATGACAACCCATGGGCTACCCGCCTCATCAATCTCCTTCTCAACCTTCGTGTTGAAACAAATCGCACTCATGATGCCGTCGCCGAACTTCTCGTTCATGACAGCCTTGTAAGCGTACCCGTAGTTTTGTACAATCTCGTACAGGCGGTAAATGAGTGGCTCAACGGGCGGCATTGGCCCTGCGCGGCCGCGGTCGGGGTAGTTGTTCAGCTGCTTCAGGTTCGCGGCCTGGATTCCGAGAAGCTTGGACAACTTTTGGATGTCCTCTTCCGAGGCCTGAACCTGACCGTAGAAGATGCCTGCAATGGCAACTTCGCTGCGGCCTAGATGTTTGGCGATGTCCTCGAATGTGAGCCCGGCGTCCGCCTTGGCATCAAAGAGGACCTGGGAATGAGGCGGGAGACGATTCGCCGTCGAAGGCTTGTTGGTCCATGGTTAGTGATCGAGGGTCTTAATTGCTATCGGGAGTCAATCTCCCCAGTATCCAATTTTTTCACTCACATCGAGGCTTGCGAGCTGCCCGGACATTCTGACGTTTGGGTTGAATTGTTAGTATTCAGGATCGAAAGTGATGCAACCAGTGCCAAGGATGGAGTTCAAAAGAAAGTTCGTCCAATTCAGATGGAGTGAGATGGGATGAGCTAGGATAAGATCCTTATCTTATATGTGCAAATGTCAGTGCCAGAATCCGAGGATAAAAATCTCGACCAACGTCTATGTTAAATTAAGTCTGTACGATGCGTTCTTGCAGGCGGGAATTACATGCGGACGTCATACATTTAGATCGCCTATGGCTACTGCGGGGTCGTGAGGTAAGAGAAACATCAGTCTAAGCTGCTTTGTCCTGTTCGCCGTTGCCGAGGCCATCCCGCCGGAGAAAACACGGTATCTCGGCTTCGGAGGCAAAAGTCGATACTGCATAAAGCGCTTGCAATTCCCGAAGGGAGGCGATGGCTAAAAACCCTTGTATTCTAAATTTCTAATAGCTTATATTTTTGCTTTTCACGCGCAGCCGGCGCCGGCACGCACGGCGGCAGCCGCGCGGTAGCCAACTCCACCAGTCATTGCATCCGAGGTCCTGGCACGGATCGGAATCGGTGTTTCCGGCTGTTGTCGCCCGGCCCGCCCGAGAAGCATCGCGTTGGTTTTACACACCTTGCGCCGTGCCTCTACTGTATGTGTTGTAGAACGATGGCAAAGGTCTTCTTCTCCGAGCTCTCCTCTGTTCGCAACCACGTGCACACCACCCAGTTGTGAACATGCCGAAAGCGTCTGACGTTTGAAGTGTGCTAGCTGTTGTAGACAAAGTCTATCTCAGAACAATCGCTGTGATGTATTATTTCCTGGGAAAAAATTTACCATCTGATGAGAAAGTCAGACTAGACAATTGCTCATGTCGATTCCTGGTTACATTGTACGGCGTTCGACGGCTTGGGGGCCGACGTTCAAACAGCGATCAGTAGTAATTGTTAGGGCGATGTCGCCTTCTCCAATCGTCGAGTGCCGCAGCTCCGAGAAGCAGCATTCCGTTGGAGCAGGGAGACTGCTCCTGCTAATATTCCAGATGGTTGCGGCCAGCTGGCTTGGCTTCGACTCCAGGGGATATCGCTGGAGGAGCTCATTCTGTCGGGCGTTGGTATCATTGGCGGTGGTTCGGCGGTATAGATGGTCATTTCTCTGTATACAACATTGTGCATCAAGTCGGACTAGGCTGGTATTGTGGAGTTGCCGGTTAGCCGTTTCCACCCCTTAAGATCCCACTCTCTTCTGGCGCCTTTAAGGTCATCGACGTTCAGGATATCAACGCCCTCTTGAACTAGCACGTCCCAGATGTGGTTTCTGATGCTGATTGGCCATGCTGGGAGATCCCAGTACCGGACCATTAAGCCGCGAGAGTGTGCCTCCTTAATCTGCGCTCTCAGCTTCGTCATCTGACCCTTTGATAGGTCGCCAAACCAAACGGTGCCGAGCGCCTTCTTGAACGATACACTCGTGTAGAACGAATTGGTAAGGTCGAAGGCATGCTTGTCTAGGCTGAGAAGGGGGGCGTCAAAGAAGGTGTCTCTGTAGGTTGAGTTTTCGACGACCATATCGAAAGGAGTGTTGCCAGTTCCGACGACGGTTATAGGCCCATAATGAACACTGCCATCAACGACCTTGCTCAGCCAGCCTCGCTGGCGCAAGGGCTCCAGCTGACGCACTACCTCCGGCCAGGTCTCGGGACCACTCGTCTTCAAATCCACGAGGAGGACCATAGTTTGATTTGGGCTTGACTCGTATATCCCTCGCGGTGATTGTTGTGTGATATTTTCTATGTCCGCATTCCGTTCTTCAAGCAGACGGACGAGAGGGTTGACATAAAGGCTTGTGAAGGTGTTCCTTTGGCGCAAGGACCACTTATTGTGGCCAACAAATAGCTCATTGTCAAAGAGCCACACGTCTGCTTCGATGCCAATGCATCCTGCTTGGAGAGCGTCATAGATAGGCCTTTTCCTCCAATAATCGTTGTGAGAGTGGCATGGAATTGGTTCGACGATGCTCGCGCTTTCAAACTGCTCGGATGTTGTGTCCCAGACCTCGCGAGCTATGAGTAGGACCAGGTTTAGGAGAACAAATATCAAGCTGGGGTCCAAAATTAGCCGGAGCGCAGAGATATGCCTGGTCGCAACACTTACAGCATGGCCATCCAAACGGCGCCACACATGATGAAGGAACGTTTCCGTGTCCATGGTTTCGGAATCATGTAGGCGGGAGGAAGTAATCCATCTTCGGAAGTAAAACTTTCAGCTGGGGTGGGCGGAACTTCGATTTCGCCTTCATTTGAGACATCTGCTTCTTCGGGAGAGTCTCTGTAACGAGATATTGTGTCGCTGTTGCGGGACCAGAATTGACGGAAGCGATCGCGCACAGCGTCGATGCTGGGGCTCTTGGTGGTAGACATTTTCGACTTCGTTTTACGCCCCAGGTGATATTCACGGACAATCGGTCAGTCGATTGGACGGCTGGAGGCTAAAATATCCGCTTAGAGATAGGAAGAAGAAGAAGAGTTCTTGCGCCGAGTGTTGTTGACGCAGCTGCAAAGGTATCCGACGCCCTTTATCTCCAGAACATGCCGTGTCAAAGAACGAGAAGTTGTTGAGTATAAGTCCTAGGTGCGGCGGTGATATGTGTGGCGAGACGTTTGGCGAGAAGCCGGACAATCCAAGGCAAGAAGCCAAATAAGTATGCAGGGTGAGGTACTGACAGTGGTGTGTAAGTTGCACAAAGAGGATAGCAACAAAGGCGAGAGCGAACAAGTAAGTCCACACGTTTGCGGACAAGCTGCAGGATGAAGAAATGCGGAAGAGAGACACCAAATATAGCGGGATCTATCGTCGTGCTTGTTGGCTTGGCTTGCTGCCTGCTTTTAGAGAGGGGAATGGAGCTAGAGATCACCACAAGGTAAGGTAGGCAATAAGGTCGGGTACGTCAGGGCGAGGCATGGACAGGGCGGAATGGGGGAGGGATACAAAGGTTAAATAAAACGGCAAGTAGATCCGAGCATGGTTATGGATGGATGCTGGGGTAAGGACGGCGGTTGAGAACAGACTTTGAGAAGAGCTGAGAGGGTCTGAGAGCGAGACGAAGAGACAGCGAGGCACACACGAAAGAGGGAGGAACGAGGGAGTAGACCTGGGGACCCCGGGGAGAAGGAGAATGATTTGAGAGTCGGTGAACTGAGCGAGTGAGAGAGAGAGAGAGAGGAAACGGGCAATACGCCGTGCCGTGGATGGGACACGGGTCTAGTGTCTGGCATCTGGTTCCAGAAGATGTGATGTCTCCGGTTGTGTGTGAGCGCGTGTGACTGACTGGGTAGTTCATGAGCATCAGCAGCAGCAGCAGCAGCAGCAACAATGCAGCGGTAGCGGTACATGGCTTCCATGCTAAATGCTGCAAACCAATGTACTTGCCTGGTGGAAAAGGGGACTAATGCTAGTCAGTGGGCGGCGTATTCAAGCATTTTCCAGTCATCCGTGCCCTGTCCTGTCCCGTCTCACGTCCCACGGAGCAGTGTACTACATAGTAGGTAGGTATGTAGAAGGAAAAGGACTAAGACTGAGAAAGTCTGTCATGAGCTTAGCTAGCCCCAAGACGGTGGGGGCGCGGGACCCGAGGGAGTGTTTCTGGCGCCTGTTTTGTTTGTGTTTGTTACCCTGGCGAGGGGTGGTGGTTCAGGTCCAGGGTCAATCAATGTAACGAAGAATGGATGTGATGATGGGCTTCATGGACACCGGTGTCCGAATCTGTGGACCACCCTGGCCAGGCAGCAGACATATGTATCGTGTCAGCGTGGTGGTGGTGGTGGTGATGGTTGTATGCACGGTCAGATGCTGTAGAACAAGGATACCTTAGTTATTCAGCGCGTCGTGAACCATGAGGATAAGGCAGGGCGAAAAAAAAGTGAGGCCAGAGGAAAGAGAGAAAAACAAACGCAGAGCCTATTCTCAGTTTTGGGGTCTAGTGTTGAGGGTCAAGTAGGTACAATGTAGTGTGTCGAGGTAGGGCATGGGCGATGACTCTGTGACAAGTTGAGATGCGCACCAAGTTCCCGTTGTCGTTAGTCGCAAAACAAGAGGCCAACAACTAAGGTTAATCGGCATGCCTCTCAAACCAAACCTGCCGTGTCGGAATGCCTCAGTCGAATGGCGACAGAGAGTCGACGAGGGTCTGGCCGACGCGGAAATCCCTGCCTCCTGGCGTCCCCGAGGTAGAGGTACCTTGTAGATGCTTGCGGGCCCCTCCTGGGTAGTCCAGACCCTGAGACCCCTCATCCCAGCCGCTTCCCTCGATATTTCTTGCCTCTGCGGACCAGACACAGGGAAAACATGAGGTGCCAAGGACAGTCAGTGCGGAAGTTCAGAAGGTGACGATACTGGAAGGCACAAAGAAAATATGCTAGAGAGCCGGGTTCGAGACTTGGCACAGGAAACGATAGAGCAGTAAACCTGAGTGGAGGGGGAAGGAGGAACCTCCAACCTCCACGGAGAGAAAGGGAAAAAAAGACCAGACTTTTGGGTGAGGAGAGAAAGGGAGGGAGATCCGGCCGTGGACCTCCAATCCAGTCCAGCAGCTACCCCCTCTGCCACCAATATGAGGCTCTTATTGGTCAATGACCGTCGCGCCAGCTACTACTGCACCTAACGCCCGTGGAGTGGAGTGGAGGCCGTGGCATCTCCCCGCAGATGGATACCTTACCTTGCACCCAGTCTTGCTAGTGGCTTCAGGCTTCGTGGAATCGCTGGACTTCAGGAAAGCTGAGATGGTCCGTGCTGGGCCAATACCGGCCCAGAGACGCCAAGTCCTTGACCTACTCACATGCTCCTCCCTCCCTCCCTCTCTCTTTCTCTCTCTGAGGCTCTCCCTCTACCTCTGTCCTCCTAGCCCGCACCCGCCAGTTAAGCCATACTCTTTCAGGCACGTGGCGTAGCTGATAGGCGGATTAACTTCCCGTGAAGCATGGAAAAACCAGCCAGCTACACTAAATGCCTCTCACACTTCATGTCATTACTTTGTACCGCCCATGTCACGCGCATCATACATCGAAGTCCAGCGCTGTTCTCGAGTGCTTCCGGTTCCTGCTGGCTTAGGAGTCCACGCTCGTCCCGGACTGGACAAAACCTGCACTACCGTATCCCCAAAGTCCTGGCTCTCCACTAAGCCCGGGCCAGACCAGAACGGCCTATTACAAATGTCCTCGTTTCCTCGTGAGCCACCTAGGTCCATCGAATCCCACCGTGCCCCCACCAGCCTTACTGCAAGGTAGCTTCTTGTGGAGGATGCTTGGTCGGCTACCACATCTCGAGTCAAAGGCAAACGCACTTGGCCGAGCCTAGCTGTCATCTGTCAATACGCTAGCCACACCTCCAGTACCTACAGTGCTACATGCTCACCATACTTTCTCGTTGACCAGAGGCCTGTTACTCCAGAACGTGACTGACCTATGGACAACTCCGTGGGCAGAGCGAACGGCGGCACGTCCAAGCCTCTGTCCCGCCCAAAACCAGAAACACCAGCCATGCATCCGTCATGTCTGCGGGGAGTGTTTCTGACTTGACCTGATGATAGGCTGACAGGCTGATGGATACTCAGGTCGGCGCCGACATCACGCCGGAAGAAAGCAAGAGCAACAGAAAGCTCAGGGCAACCGAGTACGTACGCAACTCATCAGCGGTCGACACTGAGACGCGTCTGAAAACGATTTGAAGTGTCACATAATCAGACGGCCAGCAATTGACTTTGCTCTCCGCCCTCAACCACAGCTCGACAACTCTGACACGCGAAACACGCCCTTCTCCGAGTCTAGAGTCTGTCCGCCCTGCTTGGTGGGACGGACTCGGGTGCAAATACCTTCCTCGTTTCCTTATGATTTCTTCCGCCGAATTGGGACGTAGCGGTTGTGTACTCCTCATGTTGATCTCGTCTGGCATCGCACGACTTCGTCTTCCTCCGCCACCCGGCGCCTGGTCATAGCGACGTCTCTGTAACCGCTGCGCGAGGCAGCAATGAGAGACACTGCCAATGCCTGCCCTTGTCTGCTTTGACATGCCCTGGTGCTCATGAGAAGGGGCATTCTAGCTTGTCTACCAAAGTAACCATGCCGAATTGAGGAACAAAGCCGCCTTGCTGGAGAAAACAAGATTTCAACTCCAACGTGCCCGGGCTTAGATGCCGGCTCCAAATCCCACCGTCCTTTTCCTTCTCTTGTATTCGCAAATCCGGCGAGCACCGGTGACCACACCGCATTCTGCCCATGGGTAAGGTGATTGTGTATTGACTGTTGGAGTCTATCGCGCACTATTGGGCAACGACTTGCTTGGCGAAGGAAAACCTACAAATGATCAACGAGGCATGCAGGGCGGGTGCCTCAACCTCGAGCAAAGTTTACATGCCTATCACCGGGTGAAGCCAGCCCATGTGCTGCAGAACTGTCATTGATCAGGTGCCAAGATGCCAGATTGTGGGATTCCCGCGTGTGATCTGTCGACGGTGGATCGGCCCTAGGGGCTTTCCGGCGTGGAGACCCCTGCACCTGCGTCGCGGTACGGCAGGGAGCTGGTTTCATTGAGCGGGACCCAAAAAAATGTTGCCTCGAGATCCATGTACCTTATCGGACACTTTCTTCTTATCATTGCTGACATAATCCAAAATTTTCCATCGGTCCCTCATGTCCATGTCTAATGCCGCCTCATCTGCAACATCGAAACGTGGGTAAAGAGGTGTGATACTGAATCGCTCAACTCACACAGTGGAACGACTGGAACGACTCGCAATGCCTCACAAACACACTAGAAGGGAACAAGATCCCTCAGCGTATGTTTTGACCGCCTTGTACGCCGTAGCCTACACTGACCCGATGCCTGCAGATTTGACCTCCCACCATCACAGATCGCGAGGCCGCTTCCCGTCCAACTGAGAAGTCGAAAAGCTCTAGCCAACAACGCGAAGAACGCCAAAAACGGAAAGAACCAAAAGACAGAGAACGATGGCGTTTCCAAGAAGAGAAAAGGCCGCAGCAAAGACGACGATGCTCCGAGAGCGTTCAAGCGGATAATGTCATTGGCGGCGGGCAGGAGACAACGATCTGGCCTAGACAATGGCGAGACGCCAGCCCAAAAAAAGAAGGCCGCCAAGAAAGCTGCGGCAGCCGAGCAGAATGAAGCAAAGATCGAGGACATCTCGAAGTCCGAGGTGCCCACCATCCGGCCGGGTGAGAAGATGTCCGATTTCGCCGCCCGTGTCAATGCAGCATTACCTCTTGCGAACCTTGTCAACAAGACTGAGAGGGGTGGAAAGGATCCACTTGGGCTCAAGACCGTCAGGACACGGAAGGAGAAGAAGATGCACAAACTGTATGACCAGTGGCGCGAGGAAGAGCGGAAGATTCAGGAAAAGAAGGAAGAGGAGCTTGAAGAAATTGCTGAACGCGAGCTAGACGAAGAGATCAACAGCGGCACCTTTGGCAATTTCGGTCAGACTTCCAAGGCTTTCTACGAACCGGGCCAGGAGAAGAAGAAGGGTAAAAAAGGCAAGAAGAACAAAGGTGCAGACCGCGAAGAAGACCCTTGGGCGGTGCTCAAGAAAATGCGCGCGGAGGCTAAAGTAGGACTCCATGATGTCGCGCAGGCCCCGCCAGAGCTTCACAAGGCCGGCAGAGACAAGCTGTTGGTGCGTGGTGCAACTGTTGACGTCTCCAATGTGCCAAAGTCTGCCGGTAGTTTGAGAAGACGTGAAGAGCTCCAAGAAACCAGAGAAGCATTTCTCTCGGCGTACAGGAAACAGCAGGAGGAAAAGTTGGCTCGTCTTGCCGCTTCCAAATCTTGAGATACCCAAAAAATAGTAGTAATGCGACGTAGCTCTGGAGACTCGGATACAAAGCCCCGCCAAAAGAAGTGAGATGTACTTTTCTAGCTACCTGCGATGATCCCGACTTGCTTAACACATGGTAGGTAAGGTATTTGTCTTTACGGACCTCTTTTTCAAGAGCTGCTAGCGAGTGACAAACAATCTTAGTTGATGACTGCCTTAAATCAAGTCCGTGCTGGGATCTAGATTGACCACTCAATGATGATCACGTGAGAGTAGTGCCAGGGTCCAGCCACCACAGCCCCTTCACACTGCCGCATCCCACCATGGCGGGGTCCCAACGCCGCGATTCAGCGCCGCCATCCTTTCCTCTCAATTTCCAGATCTCTGTGGCCGACTTCTATGTTGCAGGGGAAAAACAAACGTGGAAGGAATTTTCGACCAACCGCAAACGCCAAACCAAAGAGCTTGGGTTCCATCTTCCATCGTCGACCTTCACCCTCACCATTCATCTCACTTTTTCTAAGCAACTTTCGATCACCTGAGAATGTCACAATCCTGCAAGCTGGCACAATGTCCCGCGACCTTGAGCGATTGATAGAGTCAGTCATCACTGACATTTCATGTTATGGCGACTTGGGTGAGTAAATCTCCGCCCCTTGCTTCATGACAATGGTGATCCTCAACCTTCTTGTCCGTCCTCTTAAAAATTTCATCATTTTGCGTGTGGGAAACGGGAAGTCTGGTAATTGGTTGTCTCAATCAGCCAGCATCGCGGTCAAACAGGATATATTTGGCCTAAACGATGACTTAGCTGGCACATCTTACTGACAAGCGGTTGACAGGATGCACTGTACTGCACGTGCTTGACTCACTTGGTACTTTCTATAAGGACACCCAACCAAGGCAAGATGCATCGACAGAATCTTCGCGACCAACAGACGCGGAACCAAATCAACTACTATGGTCCACGGCCTGGGACTGGTTGAGAGTGAGGAAGGACATCTCTGTTGGACCGAATCGAAAGTGGAACCATGTGGCCCTACTCGACATCCTCACTTTGCCGGACCCAGACACCCAGGATGGAATGGCAGCAAACAGCGCCCTAAAAGATGCTGCAGAAGAAGGCCCCAATGACTCTGAACCCAACGGCCTGATCAAAGCGACGCCGAGGACCCCCGGCCTCCGAAAGCGGCCCCGAATCTACGTCTCCGAGGATCGGATGTGGGAATCCATTGCTGGGCATACGCCCGACTACCGAAGAGTTCCGAGACTGGAGTGGATGGCCTTGGTTGGTATCGCTTCCACCAAGCAGCAGGGTATCTTGCAAGGCGATTTGGGTCGGCTTGTTGGTCAGGATAAACGCTCGTTGCCTAAAAGAACTGACGCCCTAGCAGAGAAGGGTTACATTTCCAAGCGTACGACGCTCGTCAGGGGAACCAAGACAAGCAAAATGTGGCTGACACGCTTCGCTCCTGCCCTCCCAGTTGATCCCCTGAAAGCAACCGCAAGTTTGCACACGGCAGTTGACATGTCCCGGAGCGCTCTGGCGTGCGACTTGGAGCCTGTTTCATGGCGACATAGGTGGAATGGGGACTCGGTCGACTACATCTCCCTGGCTCAAACGATCATGGCCATCGTAAAGGCTTTCGGAATCATCAGGTATCATGACTTGCGGTGCAAGCTGGGCATTTTGGGTCTGAGATGGCAGATGAAAGTTGCAGCCAAGACCTGTCGCTTCTTCGTCCAGACTGGCGCCATTCAATATGTGGGTGCTACATTGTCCGGCAAGCTTTTCAAGGACTGTCTCAAATTCGACCACGACCTTACGCATGAGGACTGGGCCGCTTACCTTGCGACGGGAAAGCAGAAAAGCATCTCGTCTGCCCTCGGCCTTAACGATGGAGATCTTGGATCTGATCCAGCAGATAACATAGCCAACGTAAACACCTCAAGCTCCGAAGCTGGCCCTAGTCGGAGTTTGAAAAGAAAACGAGTTAATCCACGCTCCAACTGGATAGCCGACAAACCTCTAACCACGACAGTCTTCGACAATATTTCCGCTGCCGGCACCACGGGTCTGTCGAACAAGCAGATAGGAGATTTCACTCTAGGCGCATCATTTCGGAGGTATATATCCTCCATTTCGTCGACAATTTCTCTCCCCGCACAGCAGCCAGTGCATCTCAAGCATTTTCAGGTATCGAGTGAGATGCACCGAAAAGGCAAATCTCAGCAGTATCGCTATTTTGCATGCAGCCTACAACGGAATGATCAAGGTGGCGCCGGCACTGAGAAGGATGCTAGCGTGGAGATGAGCCACGTTCATTCCTCGGCTGACTGGGCTCCTGGTAAACCGCTGGCAGATCACTTCACAAATCCCACGGTGGTGCCTGAAATGGCCCGTACTGCTGGTGGCTTAGCTGCCCTTGCTCAAGTTTCCGGTAAGGCATTGAATGCCATCACGAAGAGGAAGACCGAAATTCCAGACACTCTACGAGTCAACGGGACTCACGGGGCAGGGCTGCGTCGCGCAAAGCGAATAAGGCTATCAGAGCAAACCGAGGACGATCAATCATGGGACAGGAGTCTAACAGTGAGAGCGAGCTCGGAGCTCGACTCTGCGCCCCCTTCTGGAATGGCTACTAGACGTGGTATGAGGCGACGACCAGCTGAACCGGAAAAAACCTCGTCTATCGTGACACTCAAAGTAGATCCGCCAGCGCTGTCAAGAATTCTCAACGCCAGCAATACAGATCCTGAAGCCGGCGCTGTCTCAAACATTGCGCACGCTTCCCATGTTTATGGGACAGACAAGTCGGCCATTCATGCTATTATTGGACAAGATGACCAGCCTCGGAAACCCTCAATTAAAGACGTAAATCCGCCGTATACAACCACTGAGGGGGTTGAAGTCTCTGCCCTGATGCCGCAGGATGAGGAGTCTATTATTGTAGCTTCTCGAGATTCGAACGAAGATGTGGAAGTAACAAACGCCGAGACAGTGGATGATAATCTAGTTGACGACATGCCTGTGAGGCGTGGAGGCCGCCGGACCAAGAAAGGGACAGGAAACTCTTCCACTCGCAGTCGTACCAAGATTTTCAAATGCGACAAGTGCGGTGGAACCTGGAAAAACGATGTTGGCATCAAGTATCACCTCGAAAAATCGAAGACGTCCTGCAACCCAAGCTACGTGGCACCGCTTATGGGGCCTCCCGAGACGCTTTTCCCAACTGCGAAACGACCTGCTGCACCGAAACGAGCAGTCATTCCTCCCCGACAGATGAAATCTCGACAGACGAGGTCATCTATCATTAATGATACCCCAGACGATGAAAGAAGCCAGGAAGACGCCTTCGACGTGGAAGTTGACTCTATTCCAGCGGGTGTACAGTCCTTCGAAGCCACTCTTTCCAGAGGAAGAAGACAGCGGACCACTGGAGGGGGGAATTTTGTCTCATTAGAGGAGTCACGGCAAGGCGAGAGAAAGGGCACAAGTAATTATCGAAGTGCGTCAAAACCATCAAGTACACTCAAGCCGCCAGTTTCCTCGACGCAGCTGCCCATGAGCGGACTGATTGATGATCCCGCCGGGGCTGTAAGGGATATGCCGACAAAACATGCCTCTCTACAGCCAGCACTGGGGAGATCACGGGGGCAGGTCACACCTAAAGCAAAGGGATCGCTTGACTCTCCAGAGTCTCGCAAAGCGTCTCTTACAGACCCTGCTCGAGTCGATCCACCACCATCCTTGACGCCAACGAAGGCGCCTGACCATTTCGGGCGACGAGGCTCCTTTTCGCGTCCTGTCAAGCGGAATACAAATCATAGCCTCAAGTGGATGGACCCAGGGAATACTTTGACGTCAGTCATTGAATCCAATCGACTACCACATGCAGAAGCGCTCAGGGCTAGCCTTAACGACAGCAGTACCCTTTCGAAAACACAAATCGTTGAACGGGCACTCCTCTACATCCTGCATGCGAATGGCGGGGTCTTTCCCGGGGGCCAGTCGCTGTGGTACGCTACTATAGCTACGTGGGAAGTCATGTTTTCGTCTGAAGAATCTCCGGACTATCAATTTTACAAAAGCGCTTTGGCTAGATTGGCAAAGAAGAAGCAGGTGGTTGTCAGCACGCATGCTTTCAAGGATTCTAAAGGCATGATGGCGAACTACCAGTTGATACGAATTCCTGGAACCGAAGCCTCGTCTCCGGCAGGTGCGGCTATGAAAGCGAACATAATGGCACACCACCCTAGAGTTTACATACCGCCAGCCTTCACGCCCAAGGCAGGACTGCCAAAAGAGGACAAGCATGATGCCCAACCTGTCTTCTCCAGCCGCAGGAAGACAGTCCAGGTGATGGAGGTTCTTGACGCTCCCTTTTATGCCAACAAAGCGGCCAATGATAGGCCCGGTACGCCCCCTGAAGGATCTCAAACGCCCAGGAAACGCAGAAAAAGAATGGTTACAAAAGAACAGATTGCCCATGCAGAAGATGAGGGTCCTGATGGTACCCGCAGGAGAGACATTTTCCGATTCTTCATGACAGGACAAGTTAGATCGAGCGACGGGCCCTCTGCATCTTCTAGAGATGGGCAAAGTGGTTGTACTACTAGCATCGTTTTTCTCCGTCCCAACACATGCCTGGGACATGAAGCGGCAGAAGATGTCCGACGCGCACTACTCCCTGATCTCTCAGACCCTGAACCAACGTATCTGATGGACCGGTTGGAGACCGACGCGGGCTGCGACGAGTTAAGCGTAACCTTCACCCATGCCGGCGTCATCGAAGGCAACGATGGTACCTGGCCAGCACATAAAAGCATGTTCTTCGAGATAGAGGATCGCAGCCTTACAATCAGTGGCTGGATGCCGGATTCCCGTTGGTTCTTGAGACAGAACTTACCGCAATCCCTCTCCGAGATGACCAAGTGGCCAGATAGGCCCAAGGACAAGTTTCCGAGCAGCAGCCAGTTCTACGAATTCTCCGATCAAGTCGATGCCTGCTTCGACTGGGAGCTGTCAACCGAGGGAATGAAGCTCCTTCTGGCGGAGTCGATAGCGCCGGATTATATCTTTATCAACCACGATATCGGTGACCTTCAGGGTGTATGGGAGAGTCCGCAACTTGAATGGGATCCTGTTAATCAGCTTAGCCCATCTGCGTTGTTCAACCTCCAAATCGCGGAACAGGGAACGACTGCGACCGATCACCTCTGGGGTGGTGAGCTTGGTCGCCAAAGAAGACGCAAGCGACGGCATAATAAACTCGCAACTGAGCACAGGGAGCTGATGGTTGGAATCGATCTGAAGATCAGAACGCTCATCCCTCTGCCCAGAGATATGGACCTGAGAGATGTGTCCAGAAGAAACGCTGGGCTTGATGAAACAAATGAGACCATCTTGATAGCTGCATTCGTTGTCACAAGAACGCTTCTTGGCGGGGCCGACCGAATCATAGAATGGGGTCTCATGATGACCTTATTCCCCGACATGGCACTCAGTGCTATGCGACGATTCTGGTCCAAGGCCCGGAAGGACCGGGGAACTTTCATCAACCAGCTTACTGAGCGATTTCAGATTCAATTTATCTCAGCCTACGAGAACAATGAGTTCCCACCCGTCGACTACGACAACTACGTCGACTATGACTGGCCGCGCCTTGTCAAGTGGACAGCTGGTCTCATAGAGGATTCGCAGGAACTGCCTGCCAATAAAATTGCTCTGGAGCGAGGTTACTCCCTTGGCTCAGCCTGGACAGATGTCACCAACTGGCGCGACGACTACTACAACTTCCAAATGTCTGTCTTCAACAGATTTGAGGCGGCTACTTCCCGTCCCGCGACTTCCCTCGTGGACAAGGATGACGGAGCACCGTTTAGGGACACTGATCACCTAGTCACAGCCATGTCGTGGTTGCGCTCCCTTTGTTACACGCATCGCGATAAGTATGCGCCGCAAGATATCAGGAAGAAGATGGCTAGCATTGGAGGCGGAGACGAAGAGCGCATTCAATCTCTCCTCGAACAGGCGGTCGAGATCCTGCAAGGTCAAGGTGTGATCACAGACAGCAAGCTCAAAGCCCTCGAGGGTCGTCCCTACCGCCTGACAGAGACGTTCCTGCCGAGATTTATGAAGTGGACCAATGAGGTAAAATTCATCGACGCCGCCAAGTTCAAGCATCGACTAGATGTAAGCTTCCGACGGGGCGAAAAGATCCGGATCCCTTACGTCTTGAGGGACGGCGAGGTTATGGCTATGATGAATTTGCAAGCCAGCGGAAGAGTCGCCGTCACTACAGTCGATGTCCCGAGCATCCCTCTTGGGTTCGACCCCGGCAACTACGAAAGTAGGAAATACCCCAAGTCGTACTACAATTTTGGCCTCGAGATCGAGGCCACGACGATGTACGTCTACAACGAGGATTTGGCCCTGTTGCAGAAAGCCAAGCATAGCAAGCCGCCAAGAGAGAACCACAACCGGGCCATTCCACTGTGGTCTGATTTCTTTGGGGAGCTCAACATGGATCGTTGGGCACAGGTTCTTGGCGCGGTTGCGTTCGTCGTCGCAACTCGGGGACCCCTGGATGTAGCGTCCGTTTGTACTGTACTCAAACCGTATCTGCATGAGTTTGAAGTACAAATGGTGTTTGACTGGGGAAAACGATACGGTGTGTTGAAGGGCATTGCCCATGGACTGAGTTTCACCGTGGATGAGTGGTGGTGGCTGCTTGTTGGGCAGCAGCGAAATGCCATGTGAACGACTCGCAGAGGAGGGTCTCAGCGGGCAAGTTAGGGCTGCACGCGTGTGAGAGCATCCGTTACTGAGGACTACTCTAGATGCCAACAAGTAAATTGGAATAGCATTCCCGACCTGCTGTATGCAAGGGTCGTTGGCTCAGTAGCCATTGTATCAATAAATCAAAGTCTAGAAGTATCCGGATGATCAGAGATCATGGACGTGGGGTAAGTGACAACGCCTAAACAACCTTGACCAGACGCCAGCAATAGTAAAGCAAACATGTCCTCGCCTTCCAGTGTTCATCCAGATCGACGGGGGTTGAATCCGCTGACAGCAAACATTAGGGACATCACCGTGGCTACAAGTCAAGCAAGACCTTGAGAATCATGGCCAGCAGAAGCACAACAAGAACGACAATGGCTCGATCAACCCAGAGCGGCACGCCTTCATCATACGCATGGGTAGTAGGAGGAGCTTGGGGTCGCACGCTGAGATTTGGGGCGGGGGGGAGCGAGACCGTCCGCGTGGGAGTGGTAATTCCTTCACCTGGACGCGCGGGAGGGTAAGATGGCGCCGTCGCTGGTGGTCGTGATGTTGACGCTGAACTCGAAGTCGCCGCTATTGTCCCAGGTGCCGTACGAACAAAGCCCTCGGCCAGTTCGGCGCTCTCTGTGTCCGCCGGGTCGGATCTTGGTGTCGGAGATACTGTAGCTGCTGCCGCTTGTTCTCCTTCTGACCCTTTAGACTCGGTCATCTCATCTTTGTAACCAAGCTTCAGCTCGGAAGGGATCTCGATTTCAGTCGCCGAATCTGGCAAGTCGGCTTTGGCCTTAGCAGATTCTTCACATTCTTGGATGATTTCGATATTTGTCTTTGCGCAGGTTGGGCATTTGAATGTGTGCGATACCATTGCGTGGCGCTTTCGTACGGCATCGCTCGTCTCGAGACCGCCCAGCTGACCTCGGGGGTCTGTCTCCATGAAGCTACGCAGCCTATTATCCTGTTAGCCGGGAAATAACTACTCTGGCGGCGACTGGAGAGGGGGATGGAGGGGGCGCAAAGTTCAACATACGCGACGAGTGCCGTTCTCACGCCCCATGCGGGTTGCCACGTCTCCTCATGGTGGCCGCTGATACTCAGGCAGATCTCCCGGTTGGTTTCAAAGCGGCCGCTTGGTGTAAGGAAGCGAAAGCTCGGCGGGCGAAGAGGATACGTTGGCGGTAACACAATACGGCCATGGTAGATGCCTTCGCTATAGGACGAGTTGGGTGGCCCGCGGAAGGTGAAGTGCCATTCGAACAGATCTGATTCCAGTGGAGTAGCCGTATAATCCGGTGATGGAGAGCTGGAGAGTTCTTGGGCTTCGCGTACTAGTGTGGGATTGATTCATTAGCGGACTTCAAGGCGGGGTGGTCAGAGAGAGAAGGGCCCAAGGTTGAAAGGCTACTCACGTATGCGCCGTATCGTAGGCGACTTGGAGTTGAACTTGGGAGTTGCCATCGTAGATGCGCGCTGTAGTGGATGTTGGCCAATGTCCTTTGATCGGTAATGGAACGCAGGTCTTCTTGTTTCGATGGATGGCAAAAGACTTTTGGCCGAAAGGCGGCTGCTTTTCGATGAAAGAGCGGGCGTGTGAGTGCGTGGACGAAGGAGTAGTTATTGGTAGTTAGTGAGCACACGATAGTTCGTGACAGGTGGAAGGATAGGTGGCACTAACTATCTATTGTCGCGATAGTTCCTGGAGTGGGGGGTGGGTTCTTATCCGGCTGAGGGGGGGTGGAATCTACGACCACGCTGACGCCGCTAATCAAGTGTCCAGGGGGGTTTGACCCTTTGTGCTGCATAGAGGAGCCACTGGACTTGCAGAAAGTGTAAGCCAAGGTAATTACGTAGGTAGGTACCTGGTGACAAAGAGGATACATACGTAAGGTAGATATCTCAGCGAGTCGTGCCAGTGTGCCAGTGCTCTTCCTGGATGATTAAGGAAAGGGCGTGCATGGAATGCTATTGGTCCGTGGCTCCGGCAAAGGCCGACTTACCTAAGCATACAAGGACCTGCCAGATCGTTGGTCGTCAACGACGTTTCTTCCCAATTGGTGTAGATGATCCATCATTACATCCGAGTTTCTCGACATTCTCTTCCAGCTAAGTCCAGAACGCCCAGAGGCAAAGGCGATATATAAGGTACGCTAACCCATGCTAACCCATGCAGCCGGGCTTAATTGAGTCTGTAGCAACCTACTGATGACTAGCAATTATAGGAAACCCCCTCCCGAGAATCTTGCCCCAAACGAAGCGCCCGGCGAATCGACCTTCGCTATGTATACCGGCCCCAAGCCCCCGACGCCTCACGTCCCTGGTGTTTATCGCTTCACGGCGACAGCCCTGGGCGCTGGCATGTGGTTCTTCGTAAGTCTCTTATCGAGACCCCAACTGATGCTGGGAGGGCAAGAAAGCTAACGCCTTTGTGCACCACCAATAGCTCATGTACCGCGCGAAGAAGGACGGTATGATCCCCGTCTCATTCAATCATACCGAGTGCGAGAGTACTGACAGGTGCATGCAGGAGCCGTGTTGCTAGGCTGGAAGCACCCTTGGGATCATTAGACCGAATCAATTGAAGGGGAATTTAGGGATGCGCAGAGGAAGCATTAGGTCGACAAATCATTAGGCATTCGCCATTCAACAAGTCGTGCGGATGTAAGAAGAAGGATCGACGAATAGCTTCTATGGTATGGGTACGAAACAATCACGGCAGGCACAGCTGTGCTTTGATTCATCTCTCCCTTTCCCGTCTATTGAGTGCTGGGCTTTTCGAAGAGGTAGTGCGACACACCCCAAGTGTCCCCGCCTTGGTAGGCGAACAGCTCGGAACATGCCAAGTAGAAAATCTGCCACCTATTGTACCATACGCTAGCATTCTGCTCACCATAAGTCTCAATCAGGTGCGGCCAGATCTCCTTCCTGTGTGCAAGCATCTTGCTCAGCCAGTGCTGTGATGCCCGTGTCAGCTTGTACTTCTGAGACTAATCTAGGGTAGAGAGAACGCCGGGAGCAACTTACCTCGCACGTCTTGGAGTAATGTTGTCCGCTGACCCACCATTGCTTCTGAATCTTGAGGTCTCGTTGGAAGAATAGGAGCAGGTCAGTGCAAGGCATTGTACCTCCTGTGAAGAAATACGTCGTCATCCAACCCTCCTCGCTATATCCCCCCGCGGTCAGCGCTTACCGATGAATAATAATGCAGTTGTCACTTACTAATCGTACGGTGTAGTCTTGTGGGCAAAGATGTGAACAAAAAGTTTCCCACCAGGCTTTAAGGCCCGGCTAACCTTGGCCATGAGAAGCTCATAGTTCTTCATGTGTTCGAATAGCTTTGATTGTAATCAACACCCACTCCATGGGACATAGTCAGCGAGGAATCAAAACACGTACCTCAATCGAGACGACTCTGTCGAAAGACTCCCGCTCAAATTCATAATCAACAACGTTGCCTGTGATGACTGTGAGATTGGCCAACCCCTTCTCCTTGGCTTTGCCATCAATATACTCCTTTTGCGTCCTGGAGTTGGAAAAGGCCGTAACCTTCGAGTTGGGAAGTACCTCAGCGAAGTATAGCGCACCCGATCCCCAACCGCAGCTGCAAACATCAACTCTGCTTTGGACCTGGCGTCCGATCCCACAACGTAGAATAGGAAAACGGGGACGACTCACCCGAGATCTAAGATGCTCATACCATCTGTTAATTCAGCCTTTTGAACATATGTCTGTAACATGGCAACTTCTGCCTGAGCCAGCGTCTCGCCGCCCTTGGGGTACAGACAGCACGAGTACTTCATGCGTGGGCCTAGGCATGCGGCGAGGACGCCGGTGCCGACCTCGTAGTGCTGCTTGTTGGCCGTAGCGGTCTCAATCGCAATGGGTTGGGTGCGCAGCTTCTCGATGAATGTCATCTTGCGCTCGTAGTCAAGGCTGAGGGACGTGCTCGCGATGGAGTCGAGACGTTCCTGGAGCTGGCGCCGGATGCCTATCCTGATGACGGTGTGGGGTAGGTAGCCGCTGTCGAGGAGCCAATCTGACTGTCGCGTCAGATACTTGTTGTCTAGGTACAACTAATGATGCTAGCTTCATAGCGATCCTAGTTGGGCTTGGGTACGACGACATACCCATGTTCATCTTTGTAATATAGCAATTCGCAGATGTCCAATTGAAGAAGAAAAAGGGAGGCAGAAATGAGGGAGTGCCAATCTTTCTGATCTGGGTCCAGATATGTGAGAATGCGTTGTGAAACCGTAACGATGTCCGAGCACCTACGGTAAATGAGTATTGTAGCAGAGTATGTTGTTGGATGAGATAAGGTAAATAAATATAGGCTACTCCCACGAAGATGGTTGGCACAAGACTGAGGAGGAGATGGGGTGCAGTCAAGGAACCATATGCACCAGAGGGGTTGCATCGAAGTAGTTGAGGGCTAGCTAGCTGTCCCTGTGGCTGGGGTGGCAGGTTGCCCCGGTCGCTCGGAGCCGGAGCGACGCGGCTGGGCTAGGTCCAGTCGGCACCGGAATGCGGGTCGGTGGATCATCGATGACACGTTCATTTACACTTCACCTAACATCAGCCGAGTAGGATATGAAATTACGAAGACGGGACTTGATATATAAGCAAGCGAAAAAGACTGAGGTATTCGTGTCCTGAAATACATTAGAATGGTGCCCGACTTTCTTTATTTGTATCCGGCAACAAATTCTCTATGGTAGCCCCAAGGGCGGCTCTCTAATCATGCCATCCTACAACTCCATGTGCTCCAAGATAGTTTTATACTCCTTTCTCTGCTTAGGCTTCTTCAGAGCCCGTTCTTTGAAATGTCCCGCAGCCCGGGCCAGCTTTTGGAAGAGGTACTTTTCCGATATCCAAGCCATGACCAAGTAAACGCCCCCCAATGAAATCATGAAGAGCTTAAATTCCCAACTTGTCTTGGTAAGCTGCATCAGGTGCCTTACTGATACCCCGGGCCTAAGTATCATGCATAATGTGATTGACACGGTCGCAATAATTGTGGCGATGAATGGCCCTATTCAGAGTCAGTTCTTTGGACAAAATTTCCTGTGATCCGACTTCACCAACAGTTCTTCAGCGCCCTCTCTCGGAAAGGAGGGCCTGCATTCAGCACTACGCCCGCCAAGATATACTCGAAGCAAGACACCAAGAACAAGACAGTATTTTCCGAGTTTTTGATGTTCGACTTGTCATGGTTCACTCGCGGTGGTATGTACCTATTTCTATAGTTAACAAGGCGTATTGACGGGTAATGAAGCAAGGAAAGAAGCGCTCACCATGGCTGCTTTCTTACAGCAATGTATACAGCAGTTTGCACGATAATACAAATGACCATCTGGCCTAGCAATGGAATGAGCACCTTGCGAGAAACGAGATCTGCTGTTGGTCGCTTTCGTGACAGGACAGGGAATGGTCCGGCCCAGCTCACTGGAACACTTATTAGCATATTACCCGAAATTTCCGACATTGAACTTCAACTCACTGAAGACGGCAATCGGTAGAATCAATAGTAGATCGATGAACAGGAACTATGCAGCAATTAGCTTGTGAGGGGG